CTCAGGTCAACCTTGGATTATGATCCTCCCATCTATGCCTTCCAAGTAGCTGGGATTATGTGCACCACTATGCTTGGTTTGTTTGCTGAGATTGGGTCTCACTAACTTTTCCCCAGCCTGGCCTTGAACCATGATCCTCCTGATCTCTGCCTTAATGAGGACTTTTTAAAATCCTCTTTTTCAAAACAGTAACAAATAACTTCCAGATTAGAAAGGAAGGCAACTTTGATCATTTTACTTTCTCCCTAAAAAATTTTTACTCATTATGAACAAATTACTCTGTTTGACATTCAAAGTCTTCTGCTAATCCTACTAACTCATATCTCAGATAATTTACCTTTTCCCCAACAAGCTAAGCTATGCCACTGATATACTTTATACTTTGTGTCTCTTTACTCAAACAGATCCTATCCATGTAAAGTGCCCCACCTCAATATGAAGGCAAATTCACATAAATATGTCCTCTTGTTAGCCTGCCTTCTGTAATAAATAATGACTAACTTTTTTAGCATTATGTAGAAGTCCACCACTCTGCTATATACACACATTCATTAATTTAATCCTCATAATCACTTTATAAGGTACCTAGCAGTTTTCTTCACGTAATAAAAAATAAAACTTAGGATTTAATAAGTTGAAGCGACTTTCTCAAGCATTCTCCATAGCAAGTAAGTAGTGAGGCTAAGATTCTGACTACAGATCCTGAGATCTAATATTCTAGATCTATTGAGTCACAAATGAAATTATTGCATGTTAAATTGCTATAAAAATGTGTTGAAATGATCATGTGTTATTTTATATCATATGCGTATCACTTTTGATTAATTGATATAAAAAAGGAGAAGGTAGTAACTGATCATGCTAAATCATGATTGTAACAAGACTAAAGTGAATTCTGTGTTTCAGATTAATAGTAATTTTAAAAATGCAGGAATTACATTTATGTTGACCACACATCTCTAGCTTACAAAGAAGATACTAAGTCTTCAGGATGATCTGTGGCTGCTTGGAGTTGCATGAATCAGGCTCTGACTTTTCCCTGGCTTCAAAACACACAAAGGCTTTATCGATGTTAGTACCAGGTATCAACACTCAGGAATAAGAAATCATATTCCTCAGGTCCTTATTGACCTCATTATGGAAAAAAAAATCATGAAACTTGTTAAAGATGATAAGACAGAGGGTCTTGGTAATAAGTTTCACTGCAATGGGTCTTGTAGTGGAGGAGAGATATTGGGCTCTGTGTGATAGCAGCAGGACAAAGAGGAACTTATAACCAAAGATTAGAGTGTGTATGGACTATTTTTAAGAGAAATATCAAAGAAAAGGGGTTTCTGGCTAAACTGACTTCATAGGATTATGGCTGAAGGCAGGCCAGGGTGGTAAGTTGTAGAGAATGGCAAATTACCAAGATTCTGGAATTTTCACTAAACTGACTTAGTAAGATTCTTGCACAAGCTGTATTCCACAATGACAGAGAAGGAAATGCAAAGTCAAGCCTAGTCAAGAGAAAGACTCAGGAGCCTAACGTTTTGGTCAAAGGAAAGTATATTTGTCACTCTGACCCATCACTGAAAAGGGGCTGCATTTATACAAGTCATAATAACTGTAGAGACGCTGGAGCAGTGATTGTAAAGTATTCATTTCTTGTGTCCCCATTACTAACTTTAACTTTTGAATTAGTACTTTAACTTTTGAATATAGTACTTTAACTTTTGAATATAGTGATGATTTAGTAAGTCTAGGATGAATCGTACATGAATTTATACAATTTACTCTTTAACATAATAGCAATCATTCTTTACACCTTAATTTTAAATAGTCTTAAAACAAAAGAAAAAGGATTTCAATTTGGGGAGGTCACATTTAAATGAGGGGTATTTTTTACATACTATTTCATTTTCTTTTTTTTTTTTTCCTGTAGTTTTAGTCTGTTTTGGAGAAAGTAGGAATTGCTGCAGGCAACTCTTTATTTCTCTAATTGTAGCTTGGGTTTAAGGGCTTTTGAATACTCATTGCAAAGACATATGTAAAATGTCAGAAACCCATGTCAGTAGCTAAAGTTACATATCAAATTGTAAAGTAAAAAAGATACTGTGTTTTTGTAAGCATACATATATTCTCATCTATATCCCTTTTTAGCTCATTGGCTCTGAAATCAGAAACTATTTAGATATTAGTTTGCTAGTGTGTTTGAGAAATAAGAACTATAAATTAATTAGGTCAAAATAAGATTTTTTATTTGACAGTAAAATTATTCCAAGTTCCACAAATTATTGGTCACTCCCTTACCCTTCTAATTTCCCTATTCTTCATTTTCTGCTGAGATCAGACAGTATGAGAGTTTTACTTTTATTTTTCCCAAAACATTAAGATAACTAATGCAGAGCCCAGAAAAGAGGGAAGATTGTCCTGAAGCAAGAGAGAGAAATTCCTAACACAGTTTTCTCATGTGACACTTTGAAATAGCATGTGGGTAACCAGAACATTTCAGTGCAGGCCAGCAGATGACACCTGCTCTGTAAAGCCTGATCTGATTGCAACCCTTGGATTAGAGGTAATATTCAGAATTTGCCTACAAATAATACTGTACCACAATTTCAGAACTATAGCATAAAGACACTGTTTATTTTTAAAAGTCACTGAAAGTTTTCCCATGAAAATGTCATTCCTGGATAGGGCCTACATAGTAGTCTCTCTGTTGTCAAGTTGTGAATTTTCCTATTGATTTTTTTTTTCTTTTTTGGTGGTACTAGGGTTTGAACTGAGGGTCTTTTGTTTGGTAGGCAGGCACTCTACCACTTGAGCCACACCTCCAATCCTTCCTGCTTTTTTAGGAAGAGGAGAGTCTTTCTGTTTTGTTTGTTTGAATCATCTCTACTTAGTAGTAGTGAAAAGCAATTTAATTTAAGAGTAGTGAGCCAGGCATAGTGGTGCACACCTATAATCCCAGCATTTAGGAAGCTAAGGCAGGAATATCATGAGATCCAGGCAGCCTGGGCTACCTAGTGAGACCTTGTCTCAAAACACCTAAAAAATAACTTAATGGGTGTGGAGTGTGATTGGTCATGTATTGATAATTGTTGAAATATGTTTCTATACTTTTTAATTGAAATTTTCCATAAAATTAGTGAAATTAAAATAATAGGAGCAGAGAGAAACCCTTGCCACATTTTATTTGGAACAGACATAGAAACAGGTAAAAGCACCAAATTCCAAGTCCCTTCTGTGCTTTCTGATATAAAAGCAGCAAAGAAAAACTGTTACTTACCTGCTGAGCAGGAAAAGATCGCTCAGACCTATGGACTAATGCAGCATCTAACCTGCTCTCTTTAATATGAAAGAATCACATCAGAGCCTTAATGTTAGGACTTCAGCACCAACTTTATTCTGTTGATAGTTTAGATACAGCCCATTTCTTACTATTCCCCCCCAAACATGGTCAATGTTAATTTTCACAGACAGATTTGTTAAAAGTTTAAAAAACAGAAGAAAGGGCTGGAGGCGTGACTCAAGTGATAGAGCACCTGCTAGCAAGTACAAAGCCCTGAATTCAAACCCCAGTACTGCCAAAAGAAAAAAATAAAAACAGAAGAGAAGTGCCACTATTTTTGTATTTGTCTTCCTAAATGAACTATGTCATTCAGCAATTTTATTCATATCTCTGTGGAAATCATATTCTGTCAACTCCCCCAAATGTCCATTTTTATTTTTCTTTACATAAACCTAAGATTGTCAAATATCTTTCAGAAAAAAAATAAAGAACTACATGCCATGTTCTTTACCATCATCAAGTTTTATCTCTTGTTAGCCAATTTACTAGTCTAGATTACCAACTATGTAAAAGGAATCACGAATCTCCAAAACTGTAAAATGGTATAAGTCTGAGGATTCCAACTGGCAATTTGAGCTCAAGAAAATGTAAAGGTTCTCCCAGTAAGCCTGTAATGACAGTTTCATAGAAAGCAGAATTTACTCATCTTGCCAATCTTTTTTTTTTTTTTTAACCAGCATAGTTTTTCAAGACCAAAACTCTCCAGGTCTCATCATCTTTGTCTCATTTTAATTTGTCCATCTGAAAAACTACTTGCAATAGGGAAATCTGTCTTCCTAATTGGATGCATGACACACAGGAGAATAAGGATCACAAAATGAGACAAACATCAAGCCCAGTAAAGGCTTTTGGAATAAATGTAAATTTGTATCTCAAATGCAAGTTTAAAAGTTCTAATAATAAAAATAAAATGTAAATCTTAGGCACTGATGATAATTAATGATTGTCCCTCTCTCTTAGGGACAATCATGAAGATGAGAACCTTATGAAAAATCCCCCAAACTAACATCCACTTCGGCTTCAGAGATAGAGATATGGGAAAATGACTGGCTAATTAACAACAGAAAGGCAAAGAGAAAACACAGTGGAAGGTCACATTATTGGTAGAATAGTAAGGACCAATATCCACCCACTATTTCTAGTTTTCCAGCTATATTCCAGTCCCCAAGATCTCTACCTTGATTCCCAGAGCTCCACACTCTTTCAAATCGTCCAGAATGCTTCCGCTTTAGGAGCTTAACTGTTTTCTCTGCCTCAGGATCTCCTCTTGGGTGACTGAAGCGCCTACTAATCTCTCAACTGTTGGCACAAATGTCACCTTCCCAGTAAGGCCCCGACTTAAATACTGACGCTCTCCCAAACCTTTCCTTCACTTCTTATTGCCCCATGTGAATTTACATCACCCTACTGCCAACTTCAATTTATTACGTCCCTTTTGGGCACCTCGTGGGGCGCTTCTCCACGACATCTTACCTGGAAGGGGCGGAGCCAGGTCCCAAGCTCAAAGAGTGGCCACCACGGGGGCCCGTAGGCTCCGCCCGCCCGCCTCGCAAGCGGCCAGCTTTGGACCGCCCTCCTAGTCGTTTCCGAACGGCCTCTGCGGACTGTAGACACGTGATCGTGACGTCAGTGCGCCCGCCGGCCGGACGCCGCGGCATTCGCGGGATCTCGTTCGTGGCGTAGCTGCTGCACGGCTGGGTGTTGCTGTATTCTTATTATTGTTTTTCTAGGATTTCTGGCCTGGTCTCGGAGTCCACGATGTACCACAACAGCAGCCAAAAGCGGCACTGGACTTTCGCAAGTGAGGAGCAGCTGGCGCGACTGCGGGCCGACGCCAACCGCAAATTCAAGTGCAAAGCGGTGGGAAACGGGAAGGTGAGGTCCCCTGTGGCCAGCCGCCTGCCGGGAGCTCCCTCGGGGCCCCAGCGCAGCCTCGCCTTCTCTTGCTTGTGCTTCCGCGCCGCGGAGTCTGTTTCTTCAACAAATAGGCGAGCACTTTGCCAGGTTCTGTAGGTGCAGAGACGAACAAGTCCATCCGGATAGTCGAGTGGCAGACAGACTTTGTAAAATGGCGAAGAGACTCTGTAGGATGCAGAGGTGGTGCGGGGTAGGAGCTATTCACTTGTAAAACAGGGGTGGCGGGGAAAGCCTTTTTTTTCCCGCAGCTGATGGCGGAGGAGATGGGTAAGGGACAGTCCACATAGACACAGGCACAGGTGCAGAGCGGGGAGGTAGGAGTTGAAGAGCAGGTGCGGGGAATGAGCATGGTGGTTTGTGGCTGAAACTGTACCTGCAGCAATGACTGGAGAAAGCAGGCTAGGAATTTGTTAGTGGAAGCAAGTGTTTTGAAATTGGAATGGGGAATTAATCTTGCCAGATTTCCGTCTAGAAAGAGCCCTCTGACAACCTCTGGCACGTGATATATAAAGACAAAATTGATGTGCGGTATATATTCCACTTTTGCAGATGTAAACCAAATTCAATCTAGACAGAGCCGACAGTTTTATGATTAACTTACTTATGTTGCAATTTTTGCTCGAAAGGTTCTTGTAAATGACCCTGTCTTTCTTGAGCCCTACGAAGAAATGACGCTCTGCAAATACTATGAGAAAAGATTATTGGAATTCTGTTCAGTATTTAAGCCAGCAATGCCACGGTCTGTTGTGGTAAGTTATGGTAGTGATTAAGTATAGTGTCCATTAGCTGGCTTATTCTAAATTTCTATTTTTCTGTATTTTCTGTATTTCCCGTGCATTGTTTACTTTTGTCATATTTTTCCAAAAAAAGCCTTTAAGTATGAATTACTGTGTCTTGTCTTACAAAGTATTTAAAGTGTCATTCTATGTTCAAAAGAATTTTGAGGTTTGCTTTATAGGTTGTGACATCTCACAACTTGAGGAAAAAGTTTTCCCTCAAGTTACCAATTAGTATGCAATAGAATTAGGACTAGAACTAAACTAGAGGTTTCTCAACTCTGGCATACTCAGTATCTTCTTGAGCTAATGAATTAATTCATGTCCCAGCTGAAACTCAGGCCATAAGAATTTTTTTGACCCTTGATTAGTAGAAGCTGGAGATTTATCCTTGGCTTAAAAAAAAATTGTCTTATGTCTCATGTATATGGTTCTGAAATTTGTTTTTGCTTGGGTGGACAATGGTGAGAAAAAATAGGTAACTAAGATTAAAGAGAGAAAAGGTAAAGAGCGTAAAATGCTTTTTACCTTGCCTGTTATCTCATGGCCAGTTTGTTGTGAAGATCAAATATGAAAGAGTATCTTAAGTTTTAAAGTTACAAAGTGAATAATTTGTGAGTAATAGAGAAATAACTATGTCCATTTTTATACTTAAAATTGAAGTACATTGAAAATATTAAACCCAAAAGTATTTGTGGTGATTTCTTAGTTTACAGACCTTTATCTGAGAGATCAAAGATCCACAAAGAATTTTCGATACACTTTTATTACTTTCTATGTTGAAATCTGGCTTTTTTCTTTTCTGTTACATGAACTGTAAAATGTAATAGGTTTGAGTGATCTATCTGGATAAAGAAACAACCTCAAATGAACTTCTTTGTGGAATTTATCTGTACACAACATGTGGATGATTGATGAAAAAAATTGTTTCACCAAAAAATGAAAAAACACATCTTTAGTATTTAAAGTGAAGATTTGTGTTGTTTTTGTTTTCTTCTGTCCTAAAATAGATGAGGGGTTATTTCATGCAAAGCCATTCTTTGGTTCTAGCCAGTGGATGCAATAGTTGAAAACACAGGCAGGTTTTTGCCTAGCAAGTATGAAGCCCTGAGTTCAATCCTCAGTACCACAAAAAACAAACTAAAACCAAGCAAGTGCTGCTTCTACAGTTCAGTTGGCAGCAGTGATCACTGTTTATTACAGATCTGGAGTGGATTTAGAGAGAAGGGCTTGTTGCCCCAACTGTGTTATTCTGACAGTATTTTTCAGAGATCGACTGGGTAATCCTTGACCATTTGTGTTTTTCTTAAATTTTTCTGATTCTAGACATTTTTGTTAGTATGAATTATAAAATACATGTACATGCATTTTTTAAATTCAGTGATTGAAGAAAGAATTACATAGGGTAGGGCTGGGAATGGACAGCCAAAGAGTGAGAAAGGGTCTTCTGACTATGTTATTTTTGTAATACTTCATCACAATTTATTTTTATTAAAAGGAAATTAGCAAATACTGGTATTTGTATGGAGAACCATTCAAAGAAACTACTACATAGATAAATTCTTTTTCACAGAACTTAATACCTAACATGTGTGAGTAGATCCTGATGATATGTGTATGTATTTTTTTTAAATCTTAGGGTACAGCTTGTATGTATTTCAAGCGTTTTTATCTTAATAACTCAGTAATGGAATATCACCCCCGGATAATAATGTAAGTATAAGTTTGTATAGTTTATTGTTTTCATTAGAAAAGAACTTTATACGGTGTGAGCATTTCTCTGGGATATGTGTGTGTAAGAAAGAATTGACTTCCTAATAAGGGCAATTTAAACTTGCATTCTTTTTTTTCTATTCAGAATGTAAGATCCCTATTTACCTTTATATCCTGTCTTACTAATCATGTCTGAACTTCAACTTGTCCAAATTCAAATTGTTTTTTCAAGCCTATTTCTCTAATTTTGCTTTCTGTTAGTGACATCCTTATTCTCCCAGTTGCATGGATCGAAAATCATTTGTGGTAACTCCTCCCTCTCCACATCCATTCAGTTTACAGATCCTGTCGCTTCATATTCATTTCAATTAAACAAAGGTCTATTTTATTTCTTCTCTCTGCTAAGCACTATGCTTATCATTAAAGATAATGATAAAATTAGTATGAGAGTCATCAGTGAGTCTGCTCTTAATCACATAGTTCCTGTTTATTTTCTCTCTTTCATTCCCATTCCTTTCTGTAAACTCAGTTCCTTATTTTTACTTTCACCTTCTAAAAAGCTCTCTACAGTAGCTTTCTTACTAGTTTCTCACTCTGAACTACATGTGGTGGCCAGGCAAATTTCATAGGTTTGCCACAAGCTCACAATCCCCTTACTTAAATGACTTCAGAGACTTCCACTGATGGCTGCATGCAGTGTTCTTTTTATGTTAACTTTTCTCATGTATCATATAGTACTTATGTGTGTACTTTTCTGTTTTTAACTCTTCCATTTATATTTCATGATATAAACTCTTTTCTTACTACTATTTTTCCCTATTTTAGATTGAACTATATGAAACTCTGTTCAAGTTAGTGATGGTTGAATGATATGACAATATTAGATGATTCAAATTTTATAGTTTGTTTTGTGTCTGCTAATGGGTAAAAGTTTGAAGTTTGAAGAAAGTCTTTTTTAATTTACTGCAATGTAATTATTTACTGCAATGTGCATATTAGGCGATTTTGGAATGTACTTTTGTAAATATTCACATATTTCTCAAGTATGTGCATGTCCCTCCTCTAGGCTCACTTGTGCATTTTTGGCCTGCAAAGTAGATGAATTCAATGTGTCTAGTCCCCAGTTTGTTGGAAACCTTCGGGAGAGCCCTCTGGGACAGGAGAAGGCACTGGAACAGATTTTGGAATATGAACTACTCCTTATACAGCAGCTTAATTTTCACCTTATTGTCCACAATCCTTATAGACCATTTGAAGGCTTCCTCATTGATATAAAGGTAAACTTTCTGATAGAAACAAACTATTGAGTGTACTCCTTTGCTATTGTTCTTTTAAAGGTCCCCAAAATTTTATAATCAGTAATTATACTAAATTATAACAGCTTGAGTGCAATCTATGAGTCTGGCCTTAACCTCTAGGGTAATAGTTTTCAAACTTCACTGTGCATTAGCATCATCTGAAGAGCTTGTTAATTCAGATTGTTGGGTAGGACGTCTAGAGTTTATGGTTTAGTGATCTGCAAATAGTCCATGGACTATAATGACGACCATTTTGAGTTTAGACTTTAAACATGGTAGCTTTTCTAACTCTGAGATACATTGTCATGGATTTAGGCCTGTTGACTTAAAGAATCATAAACAATTCCTAATTTTAAACTAAAAGATTGCCAAATGACTTCTATTTTTAATGTTCTGTGAACTTAAGTCACAAATATAAGCATAAAAAATATAAATAAATAAGTTTGAGTATGGTGGTGTATGGCTATAGTACCAGCCTGTTGGGAGACTAAGGTGGGAGGATCACTTGTACCATGAATTTGAAACTAGCCTGGGCTGGGTATCAACATAGTAAAACCCCATCACAAAACGCATATTCACAAATAAACTTGTGCACATACACTTATGTTTATATTTGTATATAAGCTATTGATGTAAATATTAAGAAAAGCACCTTAAATTGTTGGGTAGTCTGAGTTAAGTCAGAGAAGTTGTAAACTGGTTTATCAATCTTAGTTTAGTAGTTCAGTTTGGGTACTTCTAAATATGCTAAATACTGTATTTGAGGGTGAAGATAACATTTGTAACTTTCAAGAACCTAATAGTCAAATGGTTCAGACGACCATTGTATATATAGCATACTAAATGTTATGGGGGAAAATACAAATACCTTAGAAGGATATAGCAGATTGCAGATTTGAAGGGTAAGGAAGACATTTCTGAAGAAGCATCATTTAAAGTGAAATTCAGAGCAAGAATAAGAATTAGGTGAGGAAAGAGAGCATCCCACTTGGACACCTTCCTAGTCAAAGGCTCAGATTGATGATGCACTGAAGAACCTAACAGCCTAGATACATAAGGAGAAAAGTGTCACAGAGTGCTGCTGCCTGAGTGGAAGGCAGTGTCTAGATTATGGAGGCAATATTAAAGATTTTGAAGAGAGCAATAGGAAGATAGAGGCTTAAGTTTCAATAATACTCAGTGGTATGATTGGGTTTGCAGTTTGAAAAAAATGTGTTGGCAATCTTATGTGTTAGTCTGCATCAGATTATTGCACATCTGTAAGTGTCAGGAATAATGGAGAGACTCGATGAGAATGGATAAAGGGATGAAAGTGCTGTTAGAGTATTCCAAGCAAAAGATAGTGATTGACTTAATTTATATGGTTGCTGTGAGTATAAGGAGAGCTTCCTGGGCTTATTAAATAGTAGGTGGAATCAATAAGAAGTTGAGGACTGATTCTATAGAGAGAGAGAGAGGATAGAGGAAGAACCAGTGGAATTGAGGCCTGAACGCATAAGTAGATGGTAGTATACACTTGCTGATAAAGGAAACACTGACGTAGAGATTTGTTGGTGTTGGAAGGTGTGAAGTGGATGAATTTGGTTTGGGATATAATCTACATTGTAAGACATTCAAGTGAGGAGTTATTTATGTCTGCAAGGCTGAAGGTACAGACTTGAGTGTCATTACTCAGAAGAATAGAGTGGATTGGGCATGAGAAACATTTAAAGGGTTGTAGAGAAATAAAGAAGCTAGTAAGGAGACGGAAAAGAATTCAGAGATGGTAGGATTTGTTGGAGAACCAGTGAAGGAAACTAGGGCAGTTTTAGAAGGTAAGCACAGCAACTCTACAATCTTGCTCAAGTTTTAGGCAAAGAAAAACTATACTAGCAATGTTTGTTGGATTTAGTGCCAGAACAGTTATTTGTGATTAGTCTGTGGAGTTTGGGAAGCAGATTGGTTCCTGTTGGGGAATAAATTGAAAGTAAGTCCTAGCATTCAGTAGACAGAGTAGGCAGATGCTAGAAGATCACGAGTTTGAGGCCAGCCTGGACTCCACAGTTTGACCTGTGTCCCATAAAAAGGTAAAGTAAAGTGTATGTTGCTTGATGACTGGATACATTTTAAGAAACTTGTTAGGCGATTTCCTCATTGTGTGAACATCAAAGAGTTTACTTACATAAACCTAGATGATACAGCCAGCTACATGCCTAATCTACATAACATAATGTTTAAAATTTTTTTTCTTTTTACATTTTTTTTTTGTTCAAAACTAAGATACATACACACATTAGCCTATACAAGGTCAGCGTCATCAATATCACTGTTTTCCACATCTTGTCTCACTAGAACGTCTTGAGGGGTGTTAACGTGTGGAGCTGTTACCTCCTCTGATAACAAGAACTTCTTGAATACCTCCTTATGAACTTGCCTAAAGCTGTTTTACAATTAACTGTTTGGGTTTTTTTGTTTTGTTTTAAAATAAGTAGAAAGGAGTAAATGATAAAAAGTAATGGTACAGTAAAAACATAGACCAGTAACCTGATTGTTTTATCATCAGGTGTTCTGTGCTATACATAGTTGGAAGTTCTGTGCTTTTATATAACTGGCAGCACAGTAGGTTTATTTACACCAGTGTCACCACAAGCATATGAGTAATGTGCCTTGTGTTATTGTGACTATGACAGCTATGGCATCCCTAAATGATAGTAATTTTTCAACTCCATTATGATATTCTGGGACTGACATCTTAATGTGCAATCCATCACTGATGGAAATATCATTGTGGCACACAAATGTCCATGTAATTTGGATTAAGCAGTTTCTCTTTGAAGTGGAAAAAGATAGGATGATTAAGAAAATGTAAGAACTGTTAGAAATAGAGAAAAGGAGATTTTGTGGAAGAAACTGATACATATTTAAGTGATGATCCCAGGAAACTAGTATTGAGAAAGATACTAAATGCAAAATATATAGTTCAGACTACTCTTCATACTAATGTAGAAGGGAGTTAACATGGGACTTGAAGCAAAGTGAGAATTAGTTTTGGAGGAAATAATAGCTCTTATTTTTACTAGAGAACAAGAAGAAAGTATGAATGAGGATATTGTACCTGGAGATTTGGTGGCGAAAATAGTGCCTTTCTTTGTTAAGAACAGGAATAACTTTCTGAGAATGATGAAGTTTCTGAGAATTACCGAAGACACTGAGACAGTAGAAAATGCTTACCATAGTCACTGAAAAATGGGACAACAGCTTTTCTATGGAAACATCATCGTTAGGCAGTGCTAAGAGTCTGAGGTTATTGAACATGAATTGATAGTAACATTACTAGATTTTTGGGCATATGGTTTCTTAAGGCATTGACCAGAAGTCTGGGTATAGTTGCAAAGCAAAAAGTTGGAAAGATTCAAATACTGTTGAAGTTTAGACTGAAATGTGTTGGCAGTCTATTGGAGCAGGGAATTCAGGAAGGAAATGAACAGTAAAAGACCATGGTAAATGGGAGCAAGTAGAGGGATTTCTGACCAAGGGATCTGAGGGGGGAGAAAAACTGTGAAATAATTAAGCATATGTACTTGAATAAAAAGAACATTTGTGGTCAGAGTGGGGTGACTCAAATTTATCATCTCAGAGATCAGGCATTTGGGGATAATGACAAGGCCTGTTTAATTACACAGTTGATCCTGGATATTTTGTTTGTTAAATATAGACAAGGTATCTTACTGCTTCAGGTCTTGAGTATGAATATCTAATATAAATCTGGGAAATAAGACTTAAAGTTCACTTTAAAGGCTGTAGGGAATTGTCAGAAAATACGAGGTCTTCCATATTTCTTGGACATACTCTAAAAATAGTTGTGTTGGTATTTCGGGAAGTCCGATAGGTTCAAGATTCATTTCTATTTACTTCTTCCCAAAACTACACTTTAGAACAAATTTCTGTGAAAATATGGTGGTACAGTGATTCCTAAATGTGGCCTTAAATCTGGATTATCTCACTGCCTGGTAGTCTTTAACTGAAAGCATGTATTTCTTGGGTCTGCTTTAAACCTAGTAAAATCTGTAGGAACCTTGCCTTCCTATCCTTCCCTTCTTCCTCAGGTGGAAAAGGACAAAAACAAAGGATTAATGTAAATTAAGAATAATATCAAGTACTACTGTGCTAGGAACTTTAGATATGCTACCTTTAGCATGTATTTCTTACTATGGTTGTGTTCAAAAAAGTTTGAATGCTGCTGAGTTAAAAGATAATAATAGAGAAGATTGTTAAATATTTAGGATTTAGTGACTATAAATCTTGTATATTCTAATGGCATTATACCAAATAATCTAACTTTAAATTATTTGGTATGTAGGAAAACAGTTAACTTTTACAAAAGCATTCTGTATTAAGTATTTTCTGGTTAATTTTTAATAGTACTCATTAAAATCTCAGAAATGGTAACATTTGCAAACTTTTTTTCTAGACTCGCTATCCCATGTTGGAGAATCCAGAGATTTTAAGGAAAACGGCTGATGACTTTCTTAATAGAATTGCATTGACGGATGCTTACCTTTTATACACACCTTCCCAAATTGCCTTGACTGCCATTTTATCTAGTGCCTCCAGGGCTGGAATTACTATGGAAAGGTAATCATTTGTGTTTTACCTTAGGTCAAATTCAGTCCCTGGATTTACTACTTCTTAGAGTCTGAGTTTTTAAGTGAGGTTCATTTGTGAAAATAGTCCTTGTGGCTGGGAAGGTTTGTGAGGTTTAAGAAAATCTTTAAAAATTAAGCTAAGTATTGTTGAGCTAAGGGAATAAAGTTATGACTAAAGTAGAGGCGAAACAGGTTATTCTTAAAATACATAATAGTTCTCAATCTATGACAGATTTAATAATTTAAGAGTAAGCAACTTGAGTACAGAGACTGCTTTTGTTTTACCATTAATTCTTCTGTTTTATAGAGCATGTTTGGCACATGGAGTTCAGGAAAGATTGTGGAAAGAATAATTCTTTAGGGGATGACCAAATGGATAACCATAATAGTAATAGCTAATACATAAATGTATACTAAGGACCAGACTCTGTGATAAGCCTTTTATGTGAATTATATTCACTTGATTCTTACTTTGCACAGATTAATTAAAGATATTACATCCATTTATAACAGTCCTGTATAGTATATTATTTAACTGGGGAGGTGGAATTACGATAAAGCAGACATTTGCTGTACTCAGGTTGTCTGCCAACTTACTGTTTTTACTGTGTGTATTTAATTTTTCTATTTATGACCTTTGGAATTATCTTGATTTCATTCCTAGAAATAACTGAGGAAGAAAGATAAAACTTTCTAAACTTAAACTATTTTATATGTTTATCTCTTACCTATGATTTCAAAATCCATTGATAGACTGAAGCAAACATGAACCAGATGTGATTTAGTTTTTATCCTAGTTGAAAGGAATATTTATATTGTTTCCTTGCAGAAGCATTAATATTCCTCATTCTAGGATGCTACGGCCAACATCACTGGGGTATTTCACATATCACAGTATATATAGCAAGCTCTTTTGCTAATACATAAACAACTGTAAATTTCAAAACTTACCTGTATCCACGATAAGGGATTGTGAGCTTATATTTGTTTTGTTTATGGTATGCCTCCTTTTTACAGATGCAGCTGATCAACTATATAGATACATACATTTAATCCCATAGTGGTTTATATTCCATTTATTTACCAAGCAAGCATTGAGTACCTTCTGTGTACTACTATGTACTGTGTACTACATTTTAGGACTATAAGAAGAAACAAGATCTAACTCCCTGCCCTGGTTAGGAAGGATAGCCATGTAAATAATTATAATGAATGGAGTTTAGGTGTGGAGCTTCTATTCTATTAAGAAGAAAAAAAACATTTTTTCCTTTATGATTCAGATAACCAAAAGTTTCATTAATGTGATTAAGCATCTTATGCATTTCATATTATCCAGCGGGAAGATTTTAGTTACAGTGGGATGAAGCATCCTAAAGTCCACATTAGAGTCTATTTCATCATAGAAGTTTAGTTAATTTTAATTCCAGTCAGACAGAATCGAAATTGTGATACCTTGGGATCATCACAGATTAAGTAAGCTTTTACAGCATTCCCAGGCATTGCAGTTATTGGGCTTCCTCTCTCCCATAAAGGAAGTGCTTTCCAACCATTATTAACTTACAACTGATTTATAGGCAATCTTTTGAGATATGTGAAAATTATACTTATTGATGATCTCAAGAAGGGGAAGTGCTTGTGCTGTTGTCATATTCTAGACAGTGCCTCATTCTATTACAAGACGCTTTGTTATTTCTGGGTTCTCTTTCTGGTAGATAGAGAACTTTATTTCTCATCTGCTAGTTTGACTCTTAAGGTACTCTTTTTGCCTGTGGACTTAAAAAAGTCAAAGTATTAAAAGTCCAATTCAGAATTGAGCTGAACAGTTTTTAACTTAAAAAAAACATCATAGGAGGTGTGGCTTAATTGGTAGAGCACCTGCTTTGCAAACTCGAAGATCTGAGTTCAAACCCCAGTCCTATCAAAACAAACAAAAAACTTCTGTCAAAAGCCTTCATAGATTTAAGAATATGACCAGCTAACTCTTAGAACCACATGCATCACTCTTAGATTTCAGAAACTGAGAGGAAGCATTAAAGGAAGATGTCAAAAGTATGAGAAGTTTTAGGGAGAAAAGGGAAAGAAAAATCTAATTTAGTTATTTTGAATTACTTATAAAAGAAATGCATTATTGTCAAGGAAGTTACTGGTATCCATATCCAAAGTCAGTTCCTACAATAGATAATGAATATGTATAATATCAAACTTAGTTATCAAAACCTTGTAATCCAGTTTAATCTGGATAGTTTAGAATAAATATGGCAACAACAGTTCTTAAATCATTGCTTTACATTTTTATAACTTTATTTTACCTGAGAAAAATTAATGCTTTTTTGTATACATGTTTGAAAGATTTATTATGTTTGAGAGATTTATATGGGCTTTTATCAACTATCGATCTGAAAATTTAGGTACATAAAGCTTCAGAGAAACTAAAAATTTAAACAAATTTTATTTTCATACTACTCTCAATGATTCTGAGAAAAACAGGTAGTTGGGTGTTAAATCACAGTGATGGAAGACAATACCTTTGATTTTGACTTGATGCAAATAAGATGTAATAGATTTAAGCATGAGGTGACACTCTTACTGATTTGAATGATTATTACTTCCAAGAAGTACAGTCATAGATCATGTGAACTTAGATACTAATGGAAGAGAGAATCCTTACTGGTGCTAAATTCCAACTGTACTATGTTTGAGCTTTATGACTTTGGCCAAGTATAACTCAGATTCCTCATCCTTGAAGTCAGATTGGGCTTAAAGACTCTATCATACACTTATTATAAACATTACAAATGCTTGGGTGTTTCTGTTGTCTTTATATTGTTTCTCCTCTGTAAGCTTACATATCACAAAATTTCAATAAATTAAACATGTAAGCTAAAAGAAGTTTTAGTAAATCTTTAATATAATACTGTAATATATATTATATAGTATAATACTTGTCCTTGATGAAAAGAACAGAGGCAAATAATTTGTAATGTCACGTTTTCTCAATATGCTATGTATTTTCAATAGATTAAAATGTTTTCCTTTCTCTAACCAGTTATTTATCAGAGAGTCTAATGCTGAAAGAAAACAGAACTTGTTTGTCACAGTTACTGGATATAATGAAAAGTAAGTAAAACAACACTTTACAAAATATTCTGTTACAAAACGGCTTTCTGAATAAGTATCTTGAAATTTAATTTGAGGTAACAGATTTTTATTTGGATTAACTTTTATTGAATTATTGTATCAGAAGCCTTAAAGATACATGGAAGGAAGTACTCTTTATTCATCAAGAGAGTAAAAATCAGATTCGAAAGGGCATCATGAGTCAAAACAAGATTTTTTTAATGTGTACAAAGATATGTGATAGGCACTGAAAAAGATCTAAGGTAACTAACTTAAGGATAAAGTTTACATTTGGAACTTCTATTTTGTAAATAAATTAGTTTTAACTAGTTAATAGATGTGCTGGTCATTTTGTTAGTTGATAATACAAAGCCCATAATTCTCAACCAGAAGTGATTTTTGCAATGTCTAGAGACATTTTTGGCTATCACAGTAGGAGCTACCAGCATCTAGTGCGTGGAAGTACAAATGCTACTGATCATTTTTGGGTTGGGAGTATAGTTAAGCAGTAGAGTACTTGGCTAACATGCTCGAAGCACTGAGTTAGATCGTAGCTCCACAAAAATTAAACTAATAATCTGATTTAAGTGAGGCTTAACTAGTTTAGTTGAAAGTTTAAAAAAAAAAATTCTAAAGTTCACAGAACAGTCCTTGTAGAATTGAGAACTTGCTCCATAAAACAGAGCTATGTCCTAATCCCTAGAACCTGTGTATGGCAAAAAAAAGGAAGAAGGAAAAAATGGGGTGGAGGAGTATATGCAAGTAAATCATGAGCCTTAAAATGATGACAGCCTAGATTATTGAGGGATCAATAAATGCAGTCATAATGGTCCTTATGAGAGAAAGGGAGAGGGAAATTTAACACAGCCAGAGAAAGCCATGTTAATACTGCAGTGATATTTGAAGATACTGGCCTTGAAAACTGGATTGATGTGGCCACAAGCCACAGGATGCTAGCAGCCACCAGAACCTGGAAAAGGCAAGGAATAGATTCTTCACTAGAGCCTCCTGAGTGTGGCTTTGCCAATATCTTGATTTTGGCCTAGCGAAATTGATTTAAAATTCTTGGATTTTGTAACTATAAGAGAACATTTTGGTTGTTTTAAAACACTCAAGTTTGTGACATTTTAATGGCAGCCTCAAAAAACTGAGACTTTTACAACAAAGAATTATCAAGCCCAAAATGCTAGTGGTTGAAAAACACTGTTTTAAAGACTGAATAGAACCTGTGCTTAATTGATTGGCTGAAATAGCCCTCTTCATTCTTAATTGCCAGTGGCATATTGAATACTCTTTAAGTTGGTTGTGTTTAGTTAGTTGTGTTTGTTCCATTTTGTGCCTATTCTTAAGTAAACTTATAATTTAATTAAATTTTGAGTAAACCAATAAAATATAGGATTTCAGATCTTTATTTTGGGCAGGAATAAGTAGCTGTACATTTTAATGTGTATATCAACACTTGGGATGCTTCAGGGCATATAGTTTTTATTTCTTGATTCTGCTTACTTGATCTTGGCTTTCCTGAGAATGACAGATTTGGTTATTTGAGTATTAAACTGTAGGTCTTCACTTTCACCACTAGAGGGTTCACTTTCAAAGCTAATTGTGATTTGGTCAGAGATAAAAGGTTCATAGAATTTAGTAAGTAGAAGGGGCCTTAAAGATAATCCACTATACTTTTTTAAAGCTTAGAGTTTTATTACTGATTTACCAGTACCTTTATTTTATACCACTTATTTTAATTTGAAATAAGAATAGCTCTTCATAAAATGCTCAGAGCTTTAGTGATATTAAAATACTTATAATTTTTTGGAAGACGTATATTGTCCTAAGGATGCTAAGTCACTAATTCAGTTGAGAAACTGTAGTAGTATAGTTATCCATTTGAAGTACATGGCTGTCTTACAGTACACCCTAGATCTTTCATTCCTCTAATAAATGTTGATGTATTACTCTGTTGTTTATTACGGTTGAATAACCAGCTCAGCTATAGTATTTTTGCAGTTTTAGTTACCAGTGGATTGTTTTTGACCTTATAAAGGAGGATATTTTTTATAGGATCCACATTTTGTTAAAGCAGACACCTTTTTACTAAGCATCCCCCTTTGTGACTTGTCATCTAGTAAGTTTCTTAAATAGTAAAGTTGTAAACAAGTACAAATGTTATATGGCTGGTATTAGAGAATAAAGCATGTTCACTAAATCATGTAGAGAATTTTTTTAAAGTCTTAAAATTGAACCAAGAGTGAGCATATTAGTATTTATTAAAACATTAGATAATACAGCATGCTTTTATGTCATAAATAATATGGCATATATAGCACACAGCTATTTATCTGAATTTTAAATGCATGGAGCATTATGGAACAAGCCTTTATTACTCAATGTAGATCCTTTTTTATCTTCACATAGGCATGAGAAACTTAGTAAAAAAGTATGAACCACCCAGATCTGAAGAAGTTGCTATTCTGAAGCAGAAGTTGGAGCGATGTCATTCTGCTGAGCTTGGATTTAATGTAGTTACGTAAGTAAATATAAAAATTATTTCAGAAGTTATGCTTTCCAGTCGAATTAACCTTTAAAATAAATTATTTCACTAGCAAAGTTTGTTCATCTGGGGAAAACTGAATTAGTAAATGATATGTTTTTTTAAATTAAGTATGTATTTCTAATGGTATTCGACACAAGATAGCAGTTTGGATGTCCACCTATAGTTTTGATCCTGTATGTTCTTTGGTTTATGGGTCCTACCCTTTTCTGTTCTTCCTGAGATGTTGGGAGTGAGAGTCTTCCTTGGGAATTCTGAACTTTTTCCTATCTTTTAATCTTTGGTTTCTGATACTTGGTTTTGAGGAACAAGTATACTGTTCCAGACTTAACTTCTGTTAGTTCCCGTAGGGAAATTTAGTTTATTTCCTTTCAGTGAAAGCTTTATATTGAAGACAAAAATCAGTAAAATAAAATGTGTTGGATCTCTTCTTGGAACCGTAAGAATATCCTTAATATCTCTCAGCATATCTGTGAGTATGAGGAGTGCTTCTCTGTAGGTGAAGGACTTTTTAAAAATATTCCATTATATAGTTTTATGAAATACATAAAAAATGAAACACAAAAACAAAGTTCAAATTTTATTATTAGAGTCATCAGTCAAAAATTCTGTCAGATTGTTATAAAAATTTTCAAATATATAATTTCTGTACTACTTATCTCACGGCAAACTGGAAATAGTTCATGGACCTCACTCTCAATAGCACTAGTATGGCACAGATTGTTTCCTTTGATCTTTAAAATTCTTTCACTTTTATTTTTCATTACACAAGAATTGCATTGTGAGTATGTCAGTCAGTACAGGTAAAACCAGACTTCCCTTTGACCAAAACCCAAATCTCAGTTATGATCTCAGAAATAACTTATCAATTATTTTGCCAACCTTTTCTCCATGTGTATATGTATGTATTCTTCATGTATGTTTGTATTCTTCATACTTACTGTACAACACTTATTACTGATCTTTACCTTTTGTCAGCTTGGGTGAAAAAAAATAGTATTACACTTACATTTTAATTTGCATTTCCCTGGTTACTATGGGTTACTGATGCTTCATGTTTATATTTATTTATGTTCCATGCCCAATTTTCTGGCATTTTTTTCTTGCAGTGCTTTGGCAATTCTATGTACTCATCTTTTTATATGTGATACAGGTATCCATTTTTTTTTTCACTTTTTAAAATTTTGTTTTGCTTTATACTTTCATCTTTAATATTTATTTGCTTTTTGTTTAGTTGTTGAAATCACTTAGAATTGTTTGTGAATCACCATTCAATATTCCCAATATTTTTGTCCCAGCTTGCTTTCCAGTATTTTGTTATTTGAAATACTTTTATTATATGCTAATTGATGTGTACAGTCATTTTTGCCTATCTACTTTGATCACTTATATTGTTAATATAACACTTTTAACTATAATTCTTACAGTATTTTTGTTTCTTTTTGAGAATAGTCTTGCTGTGTCGCAAAGGCTGGCCTCAAACTCTCTGTCCTCCTGCCTCAGTCTCTCTAGTGTTAGGATTAGGGAATGTACCACCATGCACAGCTATAGTATGCCTATAGGGTAATTTCTAACACTGTTCATTTTCAGATTGTCTTTGCTATGTTTCTTTAAGTTAGGGTCTCACTGTGTAGCCCACAATGGACTTAACTGATGATTCTCCTGCCTCAGCTCTCCTGAGTACTGGGATTATAGGTGTGAAACACTATGCCTGGCTTCTTTGCTATTTTTTTCACAGTCTTTTCTTTTTGTCATAATCTTCCCAGATCTATGTTAGACTTGACAAGTCCAAGAAATTTTCTAATAATAATTTTCTAATAGTAATTAATATTGCACTGAATTTAAACATTGACTTGAAAAGTATTGTCTTCATATCCATAATCCTTCTTTCACCTTTCTCTTTGCCCAGGTCTCATTCTTTAGCATATATATAGACTAGTCTTGCTAGTTTGTTCCCATTTTATAGTTTCTCTTGCCAGTACCATATTATTTATTGATAGTTGCTTAATTTTAGGAAGAAGAGGAAAGGCTATGAAGATGATGATTATATATCAAAAAAATCCAAACATGAGGAGGTATGTTTATTTCAAAGGTTATCACTTTTTTAATACTTTCTGGCATGACATAGTTAAGATTTATTACTCTGAAGTATAAACATTGTAGACAGGTTTGGGGGTGGGAAATTTGGTTTTTTGAAAGAGTCTTGCTATGTAGCCCAGGTTGGCCTTGAACTCTCAATCTTTCTGCCTCAGACTCTGGAGTGCTGGGATTACAAGGGTATACCACTACACTGAGCTATGGTTTGATTTTTTTCTCTTAAGTCTTCATTTTTTTTAAATACTTCTTTGTTTGTGAACATTGTCCATTAGGAAGGGGATTTTTCTTGCTTCTGTCTCAGCCTGTTTCGAAGCGGTATATTCCCCCAGAACTCTTCCCCTGCCCCTTTTCTTTAAAAGTGTACTTGCCAAGTCAGAGAAAAATCTCAGAGGCAAGTCATGATTGTAATCTTTATTCCTGATTAGAGTAGGCACGTGATACCATTATTACTGTAAGATTAGTCTACTGTAAATTTCGGGGTTTGTTGTCATCAACATTTTCCTAAAGGGAAATAAAATGACAGCTGGTTATGCTTCAGTATATTACCCTCACCACATTTTATTTTTCCTTCTTAGGAAGAATGGACTGACGATGACCTGGTAGACTCTGTCTAACTATTTGAATTCGATGTCAGTGCTAACTAATCAACAGGAGTAGGAAGCATATCTGGCATTTAACTTTATTTAAAATATGAAACAACAAATACATTAAACTTTTCTACTTGTTATTTAATTTTTTTCCTTTCATGGAAGCTTTATGTAAAATAAAATTATCTTCAAGAGAGCCAAAATGGCACCTTGTTTTGATAATCATGCCCAGCTAACTAATACTGAGTTAGTCTTCCCAGTGGCCAAATTAAAACTGTAGTGTATTTACCTATATTATTTTAAACAGAATTTGATAAGCCAACCTATCTTTTTAGCAAAAAGACAAAACCCAGAACTTAGTAATCACCTTCAGAAGTGCTAAGGAAATGAATGTTCTTTGTCCTCTAGAAGCCTTTATAAATGGAAATGGCTTTTCACGGTGTCCTACTACATGATTTTGCATTACTACTTAACTCTAGAATGTACTTCAACTGTTACTTATCCTGAAGGATAGTCATCCTGAGGTAATGAGTTGTCCTCAGTTACTAGGTTTAAAATAATCACATGTAGTCTTGAATAGATAAAAAAAATCTTAGTTGCTGTAGATAGGAAATAGCAAATTATATATTCAGTTTTATAACTGGCCTATCAGATCACCTATTAAGTGAATAAAAATATTTAGGTATTAGTTACTAGGAATTTTGCAGGTTAAATGTGTTCAAGAAATTTAATCCAAATTGAAGTAAGTTTATTAAAACACAGAATATAGCACCAAATTACTTGGATATGAATCACAGCTGCCCCTTCTTGGCTGAATGACCTTGGTAAGTTTTTAATAACTCTGTTCCAGTTTCACATATTGAAAATGGGGAAATAGTAATATACATATGCTAAAATTATTAATATAAATGGTAGCTATTATAGGTAAAACCAATGTTTTTTCTAAAACCTGGCTTGAAGAAATTCTGAGAAACTAAAATGCCTTGAATATAATTAAATTGTATGAATACACACAGCTCAGACTCAGCACATTCCAGGCTGCACCTTCCATGAGGGTAGATAGCAATTTACTTATGTCTTAATATGTCAAGTAATATTTTAGTAATATTTACTATTGCTAATATTACTATACATATCTCTAGTAATTGTATTTAGGATTGTTTCTTGGTATTTTTCCATTTTGTTTTTAGTTTCCTGCTAATGCTGGAATATGAGGAATAAAACAAGCTGTGGGATTTTACAGAAGCAGAGTAGAAGAAGCCAAAGTTTATAATCCCTCATTGTAATCCAGGTTAAGTAGTAGTATGCTAGGCTTCAGACAGAATTGCAGAATACTCACAGTTTATCTCCCGTTTCCCTTTCAGGTCACTAAGCTTTTGGCATCAAAGCAGGGTCCACATTTATCACAGAAAATTGTCTACTACTCAGCCCCATTAAAAAAACTAAATGTTTGAAAGATTTTATTTCAACACTGGCCACTTAGTTACTACAGGGCCTACAAAGGTAAGTAACAAGTTTCCCATTCCAATTTAACACACAAACATGTCATTAAAATATAAAAAGCAAGAAAGCTTTTCAGGTGTTTTTAGATCACTTAGAGTAAGATGGCTAAAAGACAGAAACATAATTGGTGGGAAGAAACTAAAATGCCTCATACTGGAGTTTGGACTTTTTTGCTTGTCATTAAAAAATCTTGGGAGTCTATGTCTGTATTAGGTAGTCCCTATCCCTCTAGTCTGTCTTTGATCTTATAAACCAATAAAAAAGATTAACTGGGATGTTAGAGTACATCCAAAAAACAAAAAGGATAGGAAAGTAATAGGATATAAACAAAAGGGGAGAATGGAATGGATGGCATTGATAAATGGCCATCCATTTATCATTGAACACATGGGATAGGATGTGTTCAATTTATAGTGTCAGCTGTGATTGAAGCTATATAAGGCTAGCTGCCTCCATAGAAATAATTACCTTTTATAATTTAAAACTATATTAAGCAGCCTTATTTACAATCCTTCGGTGCTCACTCAGTGGTATAACACTTGCCTAGCATGCAGGAGATCCTGGGATTGATATTAGCACAGAGAACTAAACCCATGATTGTTTAATGTTTTCACCCCATATTTTATGTTCTTAGGATCTGAGCCTTTAGAAAATTTTTCTTTATTGACAGGGAACTGGTTGTCCTCATACCTCCCTTGGTTCCTTTATAACACACTTTGATTACTAATGATGTTCTGCCACGTATTTTCATATGTCCTTCCCTACACAATTATGGGGAGGAAGGAAATGTTGCTTAGCAAATACATATTTAATGGAAAAATGGAATTCTTTCTGAAGGAGACCATTAAGCAAAAATAGTGATCTGAAGTTTCATCATCTCCCTGGGCCTTGCTTTGTTGCTAAAATTTGAACTGTCCCTAACAGAGAAAGAAAATAATGAAATTAAATGCTTAGCTGCATTTAGATGCAATTATGCAATATATCCCTTGGTTTTATTTTAACTTAACCCTTGTGAATACGTCACAAAAAATGCACACAGAGAAGCAAATAAAACTGTACAAACTAAATACCCAGCAGATATAACAAGTAGTCAGAAGTTCAAAGATGGGTAAGTTATGTGACTGATGAGGTGGTCTGCATAAATCAAAGGGATAACACAAAAAATCAACTTGGAATTAACAAAAGCAATCTATTTTTTTTATGTAACAGAAATAGGTAATCTGTAAAGGGTAACATGCAGTGATAAGTACAATGACCAGTAACATTTACTGAATTCAAACTATTTACTGTTGTAAACTTTAACAAAAGCATTTTAAGATTTAAATACAATTCCAACAAAATAAGTGGTATGTTTAAAAAATAAAGCTGATGAGCAATAGATCCATTCTGTATATTTTCTTTCAACAGTTCCAGAAAGAGCACAGTATTTTTAAAAAGTATATATACAGCAAAGATTGTTCCTATTATAATGGCAAACTCTGGAAAATGTAAATACAAATAAAGCCATTGAACAGTCAAATGGTCATATTCCTAAATAGGAAGAAGTTATAGTGAGAACAGTCTGCAATCCAGTTATACTTGTTGATAGAGAATGCTTTTTCTTGTCAGTTGATCTCATAGTTCTTTTCCCAAATGACAGCAGAACTTTGGCAATTGGATGTATTGAAAATACATTTTCAAGTTCAAGATACAGTTAGCATTGTTTGTGAAAGATGATCTGTACACCGAGGCTCAGAGTTGGTAAAGATTCCATGTGGAAAAAAAGTGCAAATGTCCTGCACAGATAGCTTACAAAGTTGCTGGCACATTTACTTACCAGCGAAATCTTGGGTTTTGTTTGCATAGCTCACATATCACTGGAATGTGGAAAGGTGTGCTATTTTTTGGCAAGAGCAAAGGAGATATACTGATGTGAATTTACCATGTTGGGCATGCTGAATCCATGCAGAATTCCAGGGCGAAGGCTGCTACCTGACGTCATTAGTTTTTGTGTATTGGTTTTGTTTTTGTTGAAGCAGTTCTGTTATAGCCAGAAGCTTTTTCAGTACGTGCTAGACAAAAAGAAAAATAGTGTGAAAATAATAAATGAAAAGTTTCCATTTCAGAATGGAAATATACATTTGAAAAAAATTGTGACTTTCCATTGGACTTTAAATATTTTTAGTTGTAACCAAGATAGAAATTTTTTGCACACTAACTGAATAAAAATTCATTTGTATTTTGCCTTTTTTGCCAGAACAATCCCTAGGCTAGATCATTTGCCAGAAGATTTGTCATTTAAAGCTAAAGTTAATCAGTCATAAAAATTTTGAAATAGAACTCTAATGAACAGACTATTTAAAAAAAGAAAAGTTTGATTCTAGAATCTTAGGTTAATGAGAATTCAGAATCATTCAGTGTTTTAATTTCTCCGGATGGTTAGCCAGTGCAGTGGTAACATTCACTATATTCCTAAAGCCATGGAAGAGAGACTAGTCAAGACTTCTATGTATGTATATAAGCGCTGACTTCCAGTCACCGGTCCTTATCCTAGCTAAGGGCATTCAAAACAGTTCATTTTAATCTCTAATTTTTAAGACTAGGTCAGTTAGGTCCTTTCAAATCTGGTCTCTCTGTGAATACATCCTAATCTGCTTCTGTTGGTCTGACAGCAACAGTCTAATATTGATTAGTTTTTCCTTTAGTGCAAAGTTCTTGATCTGATCCCATTTGAATCCCTGCAAAAACTTGTTATAAATGTAGTTTGTTCCAGGGGTATACTCTGGACAGGGAACTTCAAATACATATTACTACCCTTTTGCCAAATCTCATGTTTCACAATTTGAGAATCACTTTTGCTAGCACTGTCAGACAGTAAAAAAGTCACTTCACTACTGGCTTATAAGCTCACTGCCATTTTGCCATTTTTACATACGCTATTTAATTGTGTGAATATCTCCATTTTGAAGAAACCCACCTGCTGTGCACCACGCTCATTACTGAGTGTTCGCAGTTCATCTGAATGAGCCACACAAATCTCATGCAGTGCTGCTAAATCACGGGACAGGTCAGTTCTAGAATGTTCTGTAGTGTCCGGAAGTTCAGGTACATTCTTTAAGAGAATCATAGAACTGCATTTAGAAATACATGTTTCTTCTTTAGTGATTCTAACTAGATATAATAGATGAAATAGAATTTCTTTTAAAATTGTAAGGATTCTTACTAAAATATTCCTTTTTAGAAATGACAATGAAATGTAGGTTCTGTATTCTATATTCACATCAAAGCCAGGGCCCATTTTCTTCTACATGACAGAATACAGTAAAATATTTTCTTTTTCTAAAATAGTGGGTTATTTAGTACATATTTGTAAAACTTTGCATCATTTTTTAAACCTAGAACATGCAAATGTGTAAGTATTAACTACCAATCTAGATTAAATGTAATTTAAATTTAAAGTTCCTTAAGCTACTGCATTTTGTCCAAAATGATCAGCCTGATTAGGTTTGTAATTTTCTGTAGACTAATTCTCAAAATAATTGCTAATAGGTGAACATAATCAGTGTTCACTATGGTATCTTTAAGATCTATGAAACCACTCAGCCATAGACCTACTCCCCTTCTTAATGTTTGTTATACATTCCTAAAAGTTGCTGAAGACCTCAGCTTTTGAAGGTATAGAGAAACAATTTAGAATACATTTATTCTTACTGACTTGTTTATTCATTCAGAGACTAAAGGAGATGAAAGACACTACAGTGTTTGCTTTCAGAGAACAGACAGTTTAGTAGAAAATACAGTAAAGTAAACTAATAGCAACACAGTTTTATCACAGATATGCTGAAGAGAAAGATACTGAGTTTAAGCAAGTAGAGAAGGAATAGAAGAATATGACGAGGCTGGACAAGTATGTTAGTGCTTGGGAGTCTAATTAGTTTGAAAGATTAGATTGTGAGGCATATCTAGGAGAGTGATAGAAAAAGCTTACTACAGGTACTTGTGATTATGCAAAATAATGAAAGTCCCAACTATAAATCTAAAAACCTAGAAATACTAAGATAAATGGTACTCATTTCCCAAACAGCTCCTTAAACAATTTTTTCATAATCACTGATCAACTATATTTCTGGGTTTGTAAATATGCCTATCATAAAGGTTTCTCAGGAGTTAACATATAAAAAAACATGATGAACATTTAGCATCTGCCCCGTATATCTCCCATTTCCTTATAAATACAGAGCTGTACTGTAAATTTCCTACAAACTAGTTTTTATACCTGTCACTGCAAAATAGGGATCCATAAGCAGTCCTGATTTCTTTGCCACAGTGATTTGGTGATTGGTGACTTGTGCTTTTAAATGAATCTGAATGCGTTAAGGTATGAGATGGGCACCACCACAGTAACCTTCCTAAGCCCTCCCTCATGATACCTGGCTTAGTTCATACATACATGTTACACTTCTGGTTTCTACATAAATTGAATTACTAATATATTTAGTTTGAATTTCTGGAAAAAGGTATACAATCCAGAAAATTTACATAACAAATGCAGTCTTAGAAATTACAAATATATCCTATATTTTATTTTGTATCACAATTTCATTATTTACAAAGGCCCAAATGTGGTTGAAGTGAAACACCAAATCCATGTACTGTATTCCAAGAAAAGCCACAAGAATACTCATTTACCAGTCTGTCTATAGTAGACCTTGATATCCACGGGTATGTGGTTCTAAGGAGACCATCAATGAGGAAATGCATAGTTAAAACACAACTGACAACACAGGACTCACTGAGGGCTTCTATGCATTAACTGAGCTGTGTAGTGCTTTTCTTTATTTTTTTTTAGCTTGCCTCGTCAAAACTGATGTAATCTGCAAATAAGGCAGTCTTTCTGTACTTATTCAACCTGGTGAAAACTGTAGGTTTTCCATGTTCAAATCTTACTGTAGCTGCAGTATAAAAGCTAGAGATAACAAAAGCTAGAAGAATAATGAATGGCAAGACAAACTAAGAAACTACTCAAGTAGTTCAAAAGCCCAATAATATAGGCTTTGCATATACCTCTAAGAAAAATGCTTATGACAGCAAACAAGTGAAATTTTTTTTATTTAGATAGAAATATCTAAAAAGATTGGTGCTTAAATGGGTTAACTCATCTATACTAACTACAGGTCTTAAAGTACTTGAAGATTATATACATACCCCAAGTTCATCTAAAAACATAATCATACGATGTTTGTTGCTTTTGATGAATGGATTGACACCTTCCATATAAGGCTCCTAAAAAAATAAAAAGCTTACTGTATGCCTCAAAAACAATTACCTGATCTGTAACAAAAAACCACACAGGTATAAAGAATTCTTACCATGTTTATCAGTTAACAGCACATGTTCACAATAATGAAATCAAGTAACAGTATTTTCCTTTTAATATAAAATAGCTATACTGAGGCATTTTTAATGAAAGAAGGAGAAATTCTAGACCAAAATACAAATCATAATACATGTCCTGGAAGATACAAATTGCCTATTTGTACACTGTAGAACCTAGAATCCAGCAGCGATTATAGGGAATTAAAATACCGGGTAGTAAGGACCACAGTGAGAAAATATATTATCCTTAACCTGCCTCAGGATTTAGATATATGTAAACTGCTTATACTAAAATCCTAAGCCACTTAAAAATATACCATAAAACACTAAAGGGTAACATACATTCTTAAAATCAGTAAACTTGAGAGGAGGACCTCAATAAATTACAAACCGGTAGACATGAAAGTCTAAGAATGATAAAGACAAAGTAGCAAGCCTATCAGATAGAAAAATAAAGAACATCTGCTCACATTTGACAAGGCTCTCAGGTACAAGAAATATATTGCTAGAAAGCAGTCTTAGAATATATAGCAAAAGGCAAATACATTTATTAATCCTCCAAAGTTTAGAAAATAATTGGGCAATTATGAAAGGAAGTATATATAAGGATACTTGATACAGCAACAATAACAAACTGAAAGCCATCTAAGTATCTGTAATAGAGGACTATTTACATGATGGCAGACGACATGATGGCAGACTAATTAGCCATTAGTAATAATAAAATAGCTGTATTTTCCAGGTATGACAAAGAGTTCATTACAAATTAAGTAACAAAAACCAGGTGACAATATGATTCCAACCAGCATATTAACATTTTGTTTTCTATATAATGTGTCCATGTCTTTTTTAAAACAGTTTTAATACTTTATAGTGAATGTTTACTGTGAAATAAAATGACTTTACTTACAACTTCAAACCCGCTAAATGGTACTGGAAGAATTTTAATATATTGCGTTTTAAGTTAGTTTTCTATAATGATTAATAAAGTTACACTGTTAAAATGGAAAATCTAAACAAGACATTTTAGAAACAAATATCCCAATCAAAATCTGTTATTTTTATAAAATAACTACTGTTATAAATTTACTTAAGCTAATTTTATTGCTTTTATAATGTCAAAGCTTCATTCATAAGCTACATAAATTTTGAAGTATTAAAGCTATTTTTACCTTAGCTCCAAATTCCACAAGATTTGCTAAATTCTGTACAGATTTAGCCACTAGTATCAGTGTTCTTGCAGCAATAGCAGATGGAGAATCTACAAGAGAATTAGGCACAGCTAATGATCACAACTCTAAAAACATATTTCTAGTTGAACAATTATAAATGAACACTTTAACATTCTTCCAGTCTTGTCTGAAAAATGTGTGACTTGTCCAATTCAAAAGAACTTGAGTTGAAAGGGAAAATTTAAATACACTATCAGTGCTTAGCTTTGTGAAAAGGGTATTGCAAAACCCAGTTATTCCCAACTCATTGATGACATTTCAAAGTACTTCAAAAAGCTTTCTTTTTATTACCACAAAGACTGTTAGTCGACAACAGACCTGTCAGAACAGTTAACAAAACTAATTTTAATACACTTGAGCCAGCATTTTACAGTCTAAGCAATTCCCTTATTCCAATGTTATTTACAGTCCACTAACTACAAATAGTTTCTATCTTTTTTGGGGGGTGGGGGGCAGTGCTGGGGTTGCATTCAGGGCCTCAAACTTGCTAGGCAGGTGCTCTACCATAAGCCTGCAAATGCTTCGCTTCAAAGATCAAGAACAGGTAAAAATTTAAAGCCAGGAAACATTTCCCTATAAAACACAGATAATGGAATGTAAATAAAAAGTATTTGTGGCTGTTCAATATAAACTCTGAAAATTAAGGTAAATATTTAACAGTACATCCTGTAGTAGTCTACCAAGCTGCTTGATTTTAGATTATACTGTGCATATTAAACACCTAAACTATAAATATTGTTGAGTAGCAATTCAAACATTCAGGTAAATATCTCTCCAAATGAATTTTACCTTATTTTTTAATAGACATAGATTTAAACAAATTAGTAGCAATGGAAAATAATTACAGGGATGTAATCTATGAAAGTAAATAGTAAAATATTGGAAAAAACAATTTTTTGAGCCAAAGGGATCTCCCATGTCAGCCTCCTGAGTACTGAAAGTATAGGCTTATGTCACAATGCTCAGCTTCCTTTTTGTAATTTAAATTTTTAATTATTTTTTGGAGGACAGGGTTTCACCAAGTAGCCTAGGCTGGCCTCATACTAGGATTTTTTTTTTTAATTGTTAAAACTGTAAGCTTTATTGTGTGATATAGTTTACTATAATAAAAAGAAATTAAAATTGTACAACAAAAGCCACGTAACTACAATACACATAAGTGAAAAAGATAGCAAGTTGATATCATCATTATCTATCAGGGATATAGTAAGCAGACATTACAAAGAACAAAATGATGCATTGGGTTTAAAAGGTGAAGGACAGGATACTGTGTGTACTACACTACCATCTGTATAAAAAATGCAACATCACACAAATATTGTAAGTCAAATGTTTCTCTGTGCTAGGATGTCTCTAGAAGCATTCACAAGAAGTTGGTAACTTTTTTTTTTCATTTTTCTTTTATTATTCATATGTGCATACAAGGCACATACTAGGATTATAGACATGTACTTCCATGGCCAGCTCAAAATATTTTTAACAAAGTTTTGGGCTTCATGTAATTATTAAGCTAAAAATGGCTTTTTTGATAAACTAATGACTCATTACAACATTCATATATACTAGTTATCTTTTCTTTGAAAGAAGCTTACAAATCTGAAGTTCACTCCATAATGAATGAGTGAAACTAAAGCTGGCTTATTAAGAGTTTAAAATGGACAATTAACATTATATAATTTGAACTCGGTGCTTGCAAAGCAGGCACTCTACCGCTTGAGCCACACCTCCAATCCATTTTGCTGTGGTTATTTTAGAGATGGGGTATTGCAAACTGTTTGCGTGGGCAGGCTTCTAACCACCATCTTTCCTATCTCAGCCTCCCATACCAGTACCCAGTGACAAAAAAAATCATTGGGAGGAAGCAGGGCTATTATTTTTATAAAGATATACAGAACATTACTATAGCTGTAGATAGAATTCTAATTTGATCTTAAAGAAGCTCCTGCTCACAGTAGTCAGGCATGAACTAAACATGCAAAAGTTTGATACACAGTAGAAGTAGAAAGAATATGTGTAATTCTGCCAAACCTTAGAATGCTTTAGACTAAGTCCTGGAATTAGATTTTTTTTTGTTTTGTTTTTTGTTGGTACTGAGGTTTGAACTCAGGGCTTCATATTTGTGAGGCAGGCACTCTTATTGTTTCAGACCCCTCCAGCTAGCTAACATTTTGTTGATAATCTGATTTAAATAGGACAAAAGGGGAGGGGGTATTTTTACCAAATAGTATCAAACTTTTCTGATTTTTTTTAATTTCAAAATTTGTGAAAAGCCAGTTACCTGAGATGATATTAAACATTCGTGGATTCAGGATGGCAGGACAGATAAGCCGAAGAAAAACAAAACCACTGAATGGGAAGGAAAAAAACTTCTTTAGAAAATTATTATGCACCTCAATTTTTAAACCTAGTAGAACTACCTTTATTCTGAATTAATGTATGGAAGGTCAAACACAAAAATCTTTAAGAAAACAATAAGCCAAAGATCCATATTTTAAAAACATATGTATCTTCCTCATGACTTTCCAAATCTGAATGTTAGATTAACCTTCAGAAGATACTAAGTTTGCTGGTAGCGTTTTCTGTCTTAGCTGCTGTGTATTTATTTCAGACTAGTAGTTTCTTTTTTATCTAGAGGAAACAGTCTCTTTAGGAACCCTTAACTGTTTGTGAAATACTACAGGAGTACAAATAAAAGATACATAGTTCTATAAAGTTCCAAACACTTCCATTATCTCCCTTAAAATTTATTTAAACAAAAGCCCACTAAAGTCTGTCACATATCAAGTTGCAGAATCAGTTTTGTTGTTGAGTCACATGAAAATAGGAATCCATAGTTACTATCATTGACTTTTTAATAAATGAAAATAAATACAATAAATAAAATGCTAACACTTTAATAATGAGACATAATGAATTCTAAGGCTTAATAAGGATGTCAAAGAATACTCTTAGCATTTGCCTTCAAACATATGCCAGCTTACTGAGTATCATTTCTTAAATAACATTTATACCAATTACATAATTCTTTCAATCTGCATTTCTTTTAAAGTAGTTTATGAAGATTGTTGCATAAATTTTACTTGAAAACGTTTTGATATTTAAGGTATGGTTTGTGAACCTGAAATTTGACCTGGTAATACGGAACCATGTAAAAATTTCAGAGTGAAAATCTGTGAATGTTTTAGAGGTGATTTTTTTGTTTGTTTTTTTATTCATTCATATATACATACAAGGCTTGGGTCATTTCTCCCCCATGCCCTCACCCCCTCCCTTACCACCCACTCTGCCCCCTCCCTCTCCCCCCCACCCCTCGATACCTGGCAGAAACTATTTTGCCCTTATCTCTAATTTTGTTGAAGAGAGAGTATAAGTAATAATAGAAAGGAACAAAGGTTTTTGGTAGTTGAGATAAGGATAGCTATACAGGGAGTTGACTCACATTAATTTCCACATATTTAAAAGCTTACTAAGAACAGAAGTCATTATGTTGAATCTGAGTGTTCACTAAAACACCACGTAACAGTTTCCTGCTGTACTTGCTAAATAATTAAACTTACTGAAAACTTACAGCTTATGAACAGTTTAATGTCCATCATATACATAACTGTGCTGAACTATATAATTCTTTTCCCTTCTTCCCAATCACCACTATAAAGCCTAAGAAAATCTACAGTTCTTAAATATGTCGTATCATAACTATAACCAAAGTATGTTTTGTTTTATGCAGTACTAAGAACTGAACTAGGGCCTTGTACATGTTAGGTCAGTGTTCTACCACTGAGTTATGCTCCTAAGGTCCCCAAAAGACATTTTTATCTTTAAAAAACAAGGCTGTGAGACAAAATTTAGATTGGAGGTGGGATTAATAAATATTTCAAAACTAATTACATAATATTGGTGTCTTTAATGGTTGCCTTTTTTTTTTAGGTTTAACTAGCAGCGTATTTCACATAATAAATTAGAAAACTGTATTATTGGACTGTTTTGTACTAAACTTACAGTTATTTTGTATTGGTTGGGATGTACAAAACAAAATCCTGCAACAGTGTTCAGGTGAAGGTTCATTTTAGTTTTGTCTTGGTTACTATCATATAACCTTAGGCAAACAATTTAATCTCTCCAGTTCTGCTTCCTCATTGGAAAAATAAGTTAGGATAATGATAATGATTTCCCTAGATACAAGGACTCAAATTCCATAATTTGCCAAAGCAGTTCTTTTTTTGTTTTGTTTTTGAGGCAGGATCTCACTATGTAGCTTAGAGTGACCTTGAACTTACGATCCTCCTGCAGTGCTGGCATTCTGTTTAACACACTGGGCTGCAGTTCTTCTAATTAATACTCTACTGTGAGCGGGCTGAAGCACAGCTTTAGAACTATAACACAGGTTGTGTTACAAACCAGTTAAAATCTACATGCTTTATTTGTTACTCTTCTTACTGCCAACTGTCTTCTCTTTCTCTCATAATTCTTTGTGTATACCTCTGTATGTATACATACATATAATTGGGGTATGCTGCATACAATGATGTAACAATTGAATTAATAAAACCTTACCTAACAACTCTTGTTCTCATGGTGGTATTTGTAGGCCACTTGTGCTGAACAGATTTCTGTAAACATCCATAAATATATCTCAGTGTCCTGCCAAAGTAACACAATCATCTCAATACAGAAAGCAAATAAAAAATAGTAATCTCATGGCAGTCAAAAGCTTATCTTACCCTAATATACCCTATTTTAATTCAGTTGGCCAAAAGTAATGAGAGATACATCTACCAAGGGGTATGGAAAACATAATCCACTACGCTAATCATCAATTTTAGATTACTTCTACGTTAAAGTATAAAACAAGTATTGGAATGAGGATACAGAGAAATTGATAATGTCACAAATTCTGGGGAGAAAGATTGACTTGATTTCTTCCACCTGAACAAGTCACTTAATACTGGAAGCCTTTAAACAAATATTGATGCCTTATTGATTGACTGCAGGGCTAGAAACTGAACCCAGGGCCTTTTGAATGTAAAGCAAGCACAGTGCCTCTAGTATATATTTTGAGCAAGAAAATTAAAGTATAGACTAAATGGACAGATGTAATTCATAACTTCTCAAATCTGAGAAAAGCCTCTCTAAGCTACTATATAAATCAGATACATTTGCTTGTGTAAGCACATGGTTTGTTTTATTGATGTGTATATTACATTCTGATTTTTCTTTTCTTTTCTTTTTTTTTAAACATAGCCCATGCTGGCCTCAAACATGGTCCTTCTGCATCAACCTCCTAAGTGTTGGGGTTAGTTATGTCCCAATATGCCTAGCATTCATTCCAGTTTCTTCAAGAATATTTCTCTTATTCACCTCATAAAGATGAAAGAAACCATAACTTTTTCAGAGTATAATACTATCACAATACAAAGCATTCACATATTTTTGAAAACAATCCCTTGTCAAATGAAAATTTCACCACTTACGGTGGAAGTATTTCTGAAGCCATGAATATTTTCTCCACAAGCTCTGAAAGTATGTTCAATAGGTGTGCTAAATTAGTGTTCACATCTTCATTTTTTTCTAACTTTGATGGACTTAACTAAGAGAAGGAACAAATATAAATGCATCTTGGAAATGATAATTTCAAATAAATCAGTCAACAAGCAGTTACCCTTTCAAAGTTCTCTACCTTTCTGTTTTGTGTATTTTTTCTTTGCATACATGGACATTTCTTAAAAGTAATAGGCACTCTAACTCCTTTTAATAGATTTGCTAAGCATTTCCAACTACTCAACTTAATGGCAAGCAATAACTTCCCAATTCTACTTATCTGAGGAAAAAACTGATTAAACTTTTCCTAATGAGATGGAATTTACTTAATGGCTTATGAAAATACCAAATACATCATGCAAAATCACAAAGCCTTCTCAAAACTTTTCAAGTAACTGTCAGTGAGATAGATTTGTGTTGTAAAAGTCAATAGATTGATAAAAGTCTGAATTCCCTTTGTAGTTCAAAGACTCCCTACAAAAACACAATGTATTCGTACCCTTCGGGGTTATGGCTTTGTCCTTGATTTCCATCACTAAATTGCTCACTTCTTCCCTTCAAGTTATTAGTAACAGCAGGGTGCAGAACTAGTATTTGGTGACTTTCAGCATTAAAAGCAATTTCTTACTTAATCGATGGTATTAAATCTGAAAACTTACACTCAAAAGCTTCCTTTGTAATTGTAAAGTAAAATGAGCCAATGGCCATGTAACAGATCCTACTCATTATCTGAATGATTTTGAATTCACACTGAATCCTTAATCTTTTAAAAGGTGATTTTAGTTGCCTTTCTTTTAATCTCCTATCTTTCCCCCCAAAAATCTTCAAGGACAAATCTAGATATTAGGTTTTATAAGTTGAGCATCACTAGTCTGACAATCCAAACTCTGAAATGCTCCAAATTCCCAGACTTTCGGAGTTGCCACAAGTAAAAAATTTCCACATTTGACTTAATGCAGTGGGTCACAATCAAAATACAGGCACATTAAAAATACTGTATAAAATTACATTCAGAGTATTTGTATTAAAAAATATGTGAAACAAATGAATTTCATGACTTGAGTCCTAACTTCATTATGTGTATGGAGATATTTCAAAATCTAAAACACTTTCCCTGTCCCTAGAAAAGTGTCCCTATATTTATGTTTTGTACACTTTCTGAAAAATATTGTGTGTGTTGCAGGGGATTTAACTCTGCCTCATGCAGAGCAGCGTAGGCAAGTGCTAACACCAAAGCTGTACCTCTAGCCCTAAAGTACTTTTTTAAAAAATCTGTTTTGTAATATTTTGCCACATAGCCTCTTCCAAAATACTGGGAAGTGCTTTGGATTTTGGAATATTTCCATAAACATAATGAGGTATCTTGGGGATGGGACCCAAGTATAACCATGAAAATGGTTTCTTTGGTACTTTTTATAAATGTATTTACATAGAGCATACTTGCTTTGATGAATATTTTTTTAAGTTAGTATATTTCCCTTAAAATGTAATTTGCTATAATTTATTTGCAGGCTGGTGGAATGGCTTAGGTGGTAAGGGTGCCTGCCTAGCAAGCATTGAGGCCCTGAGTTCAAACCTCAGTGCTGCCAAAAATAAATGATATTTGAGGAAATAACTTAAAATATTACATTCTTACCTCACAAGACTGCTTGCTTTCCATTATCTTTAAAATGGAGTCTTTCAAAGCATGGTGAACAAATTGTGTAGCAGTGGCTTTCATGTACTGCTCCATCAAGGTGCTTGCAAGTGTTGTGGCTCGAAATAGGGTAGTGGCTTCATCTACACAAAAATTTGTATTAGAAGGTTATTTATAGAGAACTGTACTAATATGACCAAATTGGAAATTAAACGATTTATTTTTTCCTCAACAATTAATATACTTTCTGCATGTGATACTGAAGTATTATGACATACTATATTTCTATTGACCACTGTGTTCGTGTGAAAAAAGTGAAGGTTCAAAATGGTTATGTGACGTGTCTAAGATCAGTTTAGCTAGTTAGTGATAAAACTTAGAACCAAAACCTACTTTGCTGCCTACTGATTTTATGCCTTAAAAAATTTCAGTTTATTCCCAAATAAAAAGATAACATAAAATCCTAGTATAGATTATTAGTCAAAACATGGCTGTTGAGTTTTAATAAAACACAACCATCATCAGGCAAGACATTCTCAGTATAAAATCTATGCTGTTTTATCTATCCCTTAACAAATTATGTATTTTGACAGTTTTTACGATCAGGGATTCTGTACTTTCTCATTTATTTAGGGAACTTAGAAGCAAGGACTGTTACCAAGTCAAAATGCTGGGTGAAATGGATTATTTTGACATAATTAGTAACTGTTAAAAGCAAAAACAGAGCTGATACCCAACTTCTAAGCAATGAATTAGTAAGTAAAAACTAAATAAGAATATGAAAACATACCAAACTATTCTTAATAGTCAAGCACTGAGACCTATTCATCTGGACACAGAAATCACTTTCTTATGGCTCCTAATACTTACCTACCATAATAGAACTTGTATTACAGATACACCTCACCCACCCCAACTAACCAACACAATAATCACACTTGACATTCCAACTGGAGTTTTCTGATTTTTTTTTTTTTTTTTGAGGTACTGGAGTTTAAACTAAGGGCTTTGTGCAAGTGCCATACTATTTGAGCCACACTTCCAGCCCTCATTGCCTTTAGGTTTTTTGATAGATAGGGTCTCACTTTCTGCCCAGGCCAGACTTGGATCAGAATCCTCCAACCTATGTCTCCCACATAGCTGGGATAATAGGCATGCATTAACATGCCTGGCCCTAACTGCAGTTTTTAATAAAGGAAAAATAAAATTAACTCTTCCATATGATTTCACTAATAATATATTTGAAAACAGCCTGTGTTCTGTTTAAAATATAAAACCTAGTAATACAGTTTTAAAAATATTACACATTCATACTTTACCTTCCATGTTTATTTCTCTGTCATTTAGTGTACATAATAACAGCGATTCAAGCTTTTCATGAAGAAAAATCCTCAGTAGAATGCTAGCCAGTAGTGTTCGGTCTTGTCCACATACATGTGATAAAGCATACACTACATGAAGTTCCTTTTGCAGTATAAGCTGTAAACAACATTTAAAAAGACTGTTCAAAGTACATAGCAGAGCAGGAAATACATGTCTCGTGTTCTTATGTTTAGGGAAATTTATCTATTCAATAAACTTATTAGAGATAGAATGACTTTGTAGTCTGCAATATTTCAGTAAAATCAAAATCATAGGACATGGTTTTTAACCTTGGCTATGGGTGTTCTGCTAAGTTACAAAATTAGTATATTTAACTTAATGAGTCTTTTATTAAATGTTAAATATTCCTGTTAATGCCATTAAAATAATTAAACTGAAAAATAACTTAATACCTCTTTAAATTCACTGTACTCTTCTTCTGGCATGATTTTTTCCATAGAATATCGTGCTCGAACACGCAGGGATCCTGGTTCAATACCTTTTAATGGTATATGAGAGCTGAGCAGGAACCATTCATCTGTAGCATGTCCCTTCTGTAACCGGCTCAACTGGCAGCGCATAAATACTGTGAAAGGAAAACAGATGATTACTGTATAAAAAGATAACACTGTAATTACTCATGCAAGCACATTTTCCTGATATTCAGTTTTCTCTATCATGTTAAGTACTTTTCATTGCAGAGGTTTTCAATAATACCACAAATTCAATACTAAATTGCTTCAGCTCATTTACTAAAGGCCTGCCATATGCTAAATCCTGATACGCAAGGATGTGGGATATAAAGATGATTAAGACATGGTGTCTGACTTTCATGGAGTCAGCCCACCCAAGAAATCAATTATAGTACAGTGTGATAAGAGTAGGTAATGCCTTTGCAATACAAAGAAATGTCTACTTTAGGTTGGTTGAAAACTCATTCTGAATAGGTAACAGGGTTACCTGGGGCTGACTTGTAACAGGTTAAGTAAAAAGGTAGAGGGAAAAAAAACAATCCAAAATAGAGGGTATGATTTTCCTTCTATATCATTACTAAGATTTTATCAAAAAAAAAAAAAGTAATGGTGAATCACTAAAAAAGTTAAGCAGTTACAGAATAAATATTTTAGACTGACAGACTCAGGCTTTGATCTGTCTGTTAATACCTATCACTTCCTTCCCTGAGCCTGAGTTTTAAGAAGGTATTGACCTAATTCACCCTGATGTGAACTGCTATGTCCCATTGCCATCTGTCCTACCAACAGGCTAGCAAGAAGTGTGATGCTCAGAACAAGAACTAGGAGCATTTGGCTATTACAGTGAATAAATAACAATGTTTATGGCACTTCTAAGGATCAAACCCAGGGCCTTGTGCATGCTAGGCAAGTATAATACTACTGAGCTCCATTTCCATTCTTGAAGAAAATTTTAAAGTAGAGTAACTTTATGTATGCTGTATAGGAAAAAGCTGAAGCAGAAAAGTAAGAGAGGTAGCCCCACAGAAAAATAACCACTATTATTCTCTTGTTCTTATTCATTAGGGAAGGGGAAAGTGGATATGTCTTTTTAAGTACAGTTAGCCATTTTGGTCTTTTCTTTCCTACACACACACATCCTTTCAACAATTAATACTTTTAGAAGTTCAGTAAGAAGTTATCTCAAATTATATTGCTTGCATACTTAATTTCCATTTTAATAAATTTCATTGTGAATTCTAAAAATATATAAAACATGGCTTTTTTTAAATTTATTTTTTAGTACTGGAGATTGGACCCAGGGCCTTGCATTTGTTAGGCCAGCATTCTACCACTTAAGCCACACCCCAACCCTAAAACATGCTTTTTATTTTTTAACTTTAGAAAGTTTCTGTATCAACTTACAGATATCAGGGTCTTTGCTTTTCTTTGTTTTATTACTAAGAGTGATTTCAAATCTGTTGATGTCAGGAGGAAGATCACTAAAGAAGCAAGGAGAAAAAGAATTAACAAAACCTTCTAGCATCAAATTACCTAAGTTCTAGTGTCAGATTCTATATTTCTACTAAGAAGTTGAGTATGCTAGATTTAAAAGTAGATTTAAAAAATATCTTATTAATTGGTACGCAGGAATACCAGTAAGCAAATTATATACCTTCCCTACCATCTTAAACTTCCCAAACTACCAATGATTCATTCAGGTATGTCCTGGAACATTTTGTATGTTTTTGGAACTTTTCAGTAATGCTAACTCTATTAATAATTAGGTGAAAAACCAAAGGCATATAAGCACTTTACTAATAAAGTGAGAAAATGCAACAGAAAAAAATTACTTTAAAAAATTTCTAGACTTGGTACCTTGTTCTGACGGTTTAGACAGACAGACACCAAAAGGGGGGGAAGAGGATGGAATATGATTATAAAAAATGATTTAATATGATAAAATAAGACTTACTCAAATACAAACTCTTCTGACCATACTGGGTTTTGCCCTTCCCTTGCATGAGTTTTTGCTACTTGGACGCTATTCAGGTAGATGTTACAATATGGATTAGTAAAATGTTTTACTGGGAGTTTGTGGGCTTCTTCAATATGTAAAACAAGGCTGCTGACCTGAAGAAAACATAAAAATTATTACCCCAGATTTCAAGAATTGTACATGAGGTTTGAAAAGCAATTATTATAAAAATAAAAGCCAAAAGTAATGACTTATTTTTCTACATTTTTCAAAAACTTAACTGAATCAATACCCCAATTGTTATATAGTATGCTTATGTTAAAGATTTTTATTACAGTAAAAGAGAATCACACAGCTAAAAGGTAATTTTAAAATACTGTTCTATTTCTGATTGTACAGAAGATGATACAATTCAAAAAAGCTAAGTTATTAGAAGTTTTGGTGCCAAAACTTAGACCATGTGCAGTATCAGGTGCTCTCTTCTCTCTCTTGTGTGACCTTGGACAAGTCAGTCTTTCTGACTTTCACCTTTCTCATTTATAAAGACTATGCTGCAGTTTGTTCTATAGATTTCAAATATAGTACAGTATATAACTGTTTATCCACTTTCTACAGAACAATATGTTAAATTCAACAAGCTTATTGGAAATTCCCATGAACCAAACAGGAGTAAGCTTGGTCAATAAATGTATACCTGATTTCATTACTTTAATCAACAAAAAAAACCAAACACCACCAAGTCGTAGAGGACATATTTACGATTAAATGAGATTAGAGATTAAGAATTATGAAGTAGGCTTCAAAAACAATTAGTATAGAATTTAAAAAACCCATTTACTGTGATTGCTACTATAAATCAGATGAGTTTTTCAATAAATTTCTTTTCCACATTTTTGAAATACTTTTTAGTGCCCAACAGAATTGTCAGTTATTATGGAGACTCCATATTTATTCAAAAGTTAGCATAACAGGCTAGAAGAACCAGAGTATGTATATAAAGAACATTTTCTTTCTTGGAGAAGAAACTATTTTTCCTGCTATTGAAGTAAATTATAGCAAAACACCTGGAAAGATTAACTTCTTAAATGTCCAAAGTAGTTCATATAGAAATTAAAAAGATAAAGGCCAAAGTAAAAGATCTGACAGTTAGAAATCAAATAAAATTAAGTTTTACCTGACGAAGCCGTTTATTAGATGTCCCTGGACTACTTTTCCGTAAGTTGCAAAATGCCTGCAGACCTTTCATCCAATCCTACAAAAAGTAACATAGCATTTCTTCTAATGCAACAGTTCCTTCCTTAGACTTTCATTCCAAGTCTCAGAATATACTGCACTGTAATTTATTTCTGCCCCAATAAAGTAAAACAGTAACCCAAACAATTTACAGTTCTATAAAAAACTTGGATGAATTTATGTGGAATTTCTAAGTCACTTTTAAGTATACGAAGGAGTGCCCATTAACTAAAAGTAACATTTATATTAAAGATACTGGTTCTCCCAAACAAGTACTACCTCCTTGGGGGAAAATGTCTGTGTAGCTGTAATACATAAAACAAGCAATGGCAAAATTTAAATTGACCCATTTTTCTAAGGAAAGGAGAAGGCCAAATGCAAAACCAGCTAATAAATGTAATGGTTAATATGACATTCAAATCATTACCTCAGACCATGATATAAGAATAAATAGAAGTCTTTTAAATACAGCATTAGATTTAAAAAATCATTTTGGCATAATATTCAAATGAAGCTATTTCTTAAATGTTTAAATCTATACTGCTCTGAGAAAAGAACAATTTGATTAATTAAAAATGTATACATATACTTTAGCTTACATGTTTAGCTGGAAAGCTATTTTGTTCAATTTTATCTCTAGTTTGTTGATTTTCAATGACTCATTTTCATTGACTATTTCAATGAATTCATTTCTCTCTCTTTTTTTTTTTTTTGGTATTGGGAATTGAATCCCAACCCAAAGCCTTAAGCATCCTGGATAGGCCCTCAGAATCACACCATGCCCTCAGCCTTTAGGGTCTCTCTAACCTTGCCAGGACTGGCCTAAACTCCTGATTCTTCTGGCTCTACCTCCAGAGTAGCTGGGATTGGCTGTGTTCTCCACACCCCATCATGAGCTCTCAATCCTTACAGAATGTCTTTATAGTAAAACACACATAAATCTAAAATCAATTACAATAGGTTTTAGAAAAACAAAAGAATAACCAGAGACTCCATACCCCACCAAAATCAACAGAAACTGGAAATACAGTCAAGAGTCTGATTTTAAGTAGCACATGGAAATACAGAATGTGGAACAACTATGTATACATATAGTAAGAAAATGTTTTTAAATGAGGCTTATAAAACAAACTGAAATGTCATCAAGGTATGTAACACATCTTCATTCAGAAAGACGGAAAATGGTAAAAGTAACTAGAAAATAGTACAGTGAGGTTTAGATTTGTATTCACAACTCACTTTCTAACAGTTTAAAAAATATTTAAGTTACCATAACATTTCGAGCCCTATTTTGCTCATCTACAAAACAAGATTTTATGTTCATTATAAGTGAAATGAATATGTAATTGAAATGCTTTACAATGATTTGAAATAAATTATAAACCATAAAACAGATTCTCATTCTTCAAGTTTATTTGCTGAGTACAATATTTTTATATGTTGCATCAGGGACCCATATGAGGATACAGAGTTTAAAAGCAGCTGCCTCATATCCAGGGTTGGCAAATTTGTTCTGTTCTCAAGAAAGCCACTTTATTTCACCTCTTATTCTCTTTTAGGTTCTTTCCATAGTGTAGAAACAGAAATGTAGCTATATTTGTACAAACCACAACTAATCACTCAGAAATATTAAAATTTAAAGACAAAACATTTTTTCCAAAAGAAAAATTTAAAAACATATCTTCACAGAATTACTTGAAATTTTAAGCAGTTATGAGAAGGACATTGCAAATGGATCAGTGGGCCAGCGTTAAAGTAGTCATTGAATCTAGACTTAGAGAATATAGGGAAAAGAAATTCCTAAAATATTTTTCCTTTCAGATGGGTTCAACCTGTCAATATTTGTTAGCAAGTATTGTTGCAAATCTTTGGAATGTACTGAGAATATCTACAACCTTTATATACAAAAGATTTTAAATGAGCATTCTCAGTTGAATTCAACAGAGTATTTAATGGTCAGTTTTAAATGGAGATTTTATTTTTAATAACCCTTTGTTGCATTTGTTTCTGCATTTCTTTCAAATTTATGTATGTGGAAGTTCTCATTCCTTAAAATAAAAAGATGACTAGATTTCAAACATCCTTTTATCACTTTATCTTAAATGTAATAGTTTTTTACTCTAGGTAATAAGAAAACACAGACTAAACAAGATTTGCAGTAGTTTAAGGAATAATGATCTTACCTCTGCTTGTTCTGGAGTTTCTCCCGCAAAGTAAAAAATGTAATGTTCTTCACTAAAGTGCTGAACTACTATCTGAAAACAGTTTGGCCTTTAAAATACAAACAAAAAAAGTGATCAAGGAATTTAACAAAAAGTATTAAAATATTTACAACACAGCATAATTATATAAATTATATAAAATTATGTTAATTCTAGATTGAGAGAAATAATATTTTAATTGTACCAGATCCAGATCATTACTAAAAGGAAAATGTCACCTGCATATTTTTTTAGAAAACTTTGTCAATACTATTGCAGTTTTACCAATCTTTCAAAGTATAAACTAAAAAACTAAATTCATTTTAAGATATTTGAAACAGAAAAGTTATGAAATTGAAGCAGAACTGCTAGAATTGCATACAGCTAATCTAAAAAGTTTTTATATGCATTGGAAAAATACCTAAATGTTCTTAGTCTGTAAGCAGATTGTGAGTGCTGTTAATTCTCTTTAATTTTTATATTTCAAATTTTTAAAAAATTTAAAAACATTCAGAGAAGAAGAAAATAAAAAAATAGTGAATATCTAAAAATTATTTTTCCTGTTAAAATGAAAATATTAGGACTTAGTAATGGTCTAAATAAATGTTAGTTCATATCTTTTAGTATGTACTACTGTAAATCATTTGATCATAGTTACCATATAAAATAGTAATTTCTGTCATTTTTGGGGATATAGTGTCTTTTCAATTAACCATGAAAATATCTGGTATGGTCCTGCAAGTTTTTAGAAGGCAATGAATGTTATTTCTATTTGTTGCTGTTAACAAAGATTTTGTCTTACCGGCAAATGATAAAGAGGCCTTAGCAGAACAAGGCTTAATACTTGTTTACTTTTTATGTTTTGAAAATATCATAAAATAATTGCAGATGTGGTAAAGCTTTTGATAGTGAGAGTTGCCTGTATGAGACCAACCCCTCCTGGCTGGATACCATATAAAAAAAATCAAACAAGAAAAATAGAAAAACAGTTGTTTAGTATATAGAACAACCACAGCAGGGAAAACTTGAGGGGCCAAGATTATGCTGAGGTGAGCCTGACATTCTCTATAGCTTTTCCTTTCAAGGCATGTGCCAGTCCCTAAGTTGTGTATAAATGACAAGAAGCTGAGAAGTTGGTACGCTAAGCAGAAACAGCAGCTAAAAGGCTAACCAGAAAATTCTTGCAGTTTCACAGTGCTGGGAAATGAAAATGAAGTTTGGTGCCTTCAAATAAAATGCCTTCAATTTAAGACACTTAAAGGGCTACACTTTCATGATAAGAGCAAACCAAAACTAGGACAGCACTCACCAATCCTCAAATACTAAGAGTTTAAGATGAACTATTACTCAATCTGTCAGAACAGTAACATTTCCAGAGACAATTAACATTGTCCATAGTTTCCATAGTTTTTATACACAGCGTCCACCATTCAGCCAAACATAAGTAGATATGACAAGAATGAAAGCCAAGGGAAAAAAACCAAACAAAAAGGCATAATCCAGATATTGAGTATAGACACAACTTTTAAATAACCAATTTCAGTGTTTAAGAAAATAGGCAGAGTAGTGTTGTCTGAAAACTAGGTCTACAAAAAAAAAAAAAAATCAACTGGAAATTCTAACTTGAAAAATGTAATAAATTAAGACCTAAACCAATGGATTTAACTGCATGCAGAAGGACAGATTAGTGAACCGAAAGCTCAAAATATCTAGCTTGAAACCCAGAGAGGAAAAAAGATGAAAAAAGAAAACTATGTATTAAAATCAGAAGGCATAATTTTAAAAAGGTGCAACATGTTTAATAGGAATACCAGAAAACAGGAGAACGTAGCTGAAGAACTATGAAAAGAGATACTAATGAAAATTTTCTAAAACTGACAATCTCTACAAATACAGGAATAAATTTTTAAAAAATTTTATAGCAGACACATTTTGGTTTTACAAATAAGGGTTTTTATTTGGTTTCAGAAATAAGGGGAAAATTTCAAAGCATCCAGAAAACGATAAGATACATTATCCATAAGAGAAAAGATACACTACATCTAAAAACGAAACAATCTTGAGTGACAGTGAAAATGGCGGAAGGCAGAAAACTCTTTGAAATGGTAAAAGTAACTGCCAATCTAAAATTTACTATCAAGCAAAACATCCCTGGTAAGTAAAGATGAAACAGTAAATACTGCCACAGTGAAAGATGCAGTCTATGAAAAGATAAAGGTATAAAAACTCCAACCTAAGCATTCACTAGAATAGCTATGACTGAAACATTTTTCAACATGTGCTTCTGAAATATATATATTTGACATACAGCAGTATTAACAATCTTAAGGTTAGTTTAAAGAAACATGCTTAGAGGCCTTCAAATAGTAATGAAAATAATACAGAGAAAACTGCACAGCTGTACAACTAGAGTCTTGCAGGAAAAAAAAACATACAACCACTTCTGTCCAACATTTCTTTCATCAGAGGGCTGAGAAGGCACACCAGTCACCTACCACAGAAAGTTATATGACAAAAATCCATGTATATCAGGCTTTATGCTTCACAAAGCATAAAATGGTTCAAGGTCCCCTACTTAAAAACACAGTAAAGGTAACAGCATTCATCCAAAATGTCCCCTTTTCTGCTATTTGATGTCAAACCATTTTCATTTGTCCACTTTGTAGGACAAATAGATGTCCTATGGTAGATTCTTCTCATTGCCTTGATGTGATGCAGTTTTCCTTGACACTTAAGTGCTTCCCAACTACTTCCTAGTAAGGCACATACAAAAAAGCAGCTGATGCTAAACTGGCATTTTTTTATAAATTTATTTTATTATTTACTTATGGCAATACTAGAGTGAACTCAGGGCCTTGTGCTTGCCAGGCAGGCGCTCTACAACTTAAGTCACACCATCAGCACAAAATTTGATTTTTTTTTTTTTAAATAAGAGACTCTAGCTTAGTTCTCACGGACACAATTTTTTCATACTAAGTTTTAGATAGTATCATTAAAGACAATTCCTTATTTCCAAATTCTTGAAAGTCACCTTCAGTGAGGAATTTTGCATAGGAGGCAAGTGATGATCTTATAGTAAATGGTATATATTTGCTTTTCCTTTCCATCTGACAGATTTTTCACGGAGGGCATTACTGGGGTTTGAGTTCATGGTGCTGCTCTTGTTAGGTAGGTGCTCTACCACTTGAGCTACACCCCGCAGTTCTTTTTGCTTTGGTTATTTTTGAGTAAGGGTCTGGCATTTATGCCCAGGCTGACCTGGACCATGACCTATTTATGCTTCCTGTGTAGTATGGATGATAGGTACACCTCACCACACCAGTTCTTTTATTGGTTAAGAAGGGTCTCAGTAACGTTTTGCCTGGGCTGGCCTCAAACCACAATCCTTCCAATAAAACTCATTCCTGATACTAACCAGTAATAAGAATAATTCAGTCTCTTTGTACTTCAAGGATCTGATCCATCTTTAACTGTAGCCAAAAACAAACAAACAAACAAACAAAAAAATGACTTTAGATAACTATTTTTATAATTGTCAACTCTAATGTGGACTTTTTGATAGTGCAAATTGACCATACCTGTTCTTATAAAATACTTCAAAATAATGCTAAAATATTTCCTCAAACATATAGACATAGCTTTATTAGTCTTAATACTTCTCAAACTTTCACATTATTCAAAGTATTACTAGTGAATCATTTTTAAAACTTTTCAAAGGTTGAATTTCTGCTTTGAATTCAGCTGCTAGAACATATCTTTTTGTGCTATAATTTTAGAGGACATGCACTCATTCTACATTAAATACGAAAAGTGAAAATTATTTACCACAAAGAGGTTTATTTTCCGTACAGGTCATAAACTTTTAACAAAGCTCGAAGACAGCTAACATACTTCAGTATCAAACATTAAGCATTCAGATCCCATTTCTTCACATGAAATTGAAAATGCAGCAGAAGCAGCTTGGCTTCTTATAAAAGCCCTAATTTCATAATATTTTTAATATGGAATTCAAGTCTATAAACATATATAAATAAGACCATCTCCATACTGCTTTTTTCCAAAAGTCTTGATATAAAATGTTTGAATACTTCTATCACAAAGCTTCTTCAGGAGTTATAAACTTAAGTAGCATTTTCTACACCTTTGTTTCAAGTGTTCATTTACAGTGGAATACTTTATTCTTAATAGTTTTGGTCAATGATTTTCCTCCAATATTTCTGTAATGTTTAGATTCATCATCAATCTGCAGTGAAAATGTGGTCTCTGGATATATGTACAGCCTATCATCTAATTCACAAATGTATTAACTGATAGTAATATCTACTACTATTTAAAAGTGGTATCTCTTTTCTTCTCTTTTACTTCTTAGCCACAAACAGAATTGGCAAGTTCCATGCAGACTGGAAAACAAGTAATTCTCCAACTCTGTGTGAAGCACTTTCCTTTAGCTATTAATTGCATGATCTCATAACAGGCTTAACATGATACTGTAGGAAACATCTACGAAAAGAGAGGAAGGAATGGAGAAGAAACTTTCTCATTTGGAGTTTACAGTTCAGTTTTTCCTTCACAGTAATTATATATTTAGTTGCACAGTGCCAGCATAATGTCCTTGGTACTACTGACTTATCAGTAACTTTTTTTTCGCCCAGTACTGAGGCTTGAACTCAGGGCCTTCACCTTGAGCCACTCCACCAACCCTGTTTTTGTGAAGGGTTTTTCAAGATAGTCTCACGAACTATTTGCCTGATCTGGGTTCGAACTGCAATCCTACTGATCCCTCCCTCCTGAGTAGCTAAGATTACAGACATGAGCCACTGGAACCCAGCTTATCAGTAACTTTTATGTAAATAACACATTTAGAGCCAAGAGAAAAAGATTTTCTGACCTTAGCAATGTAAATTAAATACGTCTCATTAAGAAGCTTAATAAGTGGGTTTTTTTTTTAAGGCTACTATTTTATCTTGTGAACATACCCACTTTCTAAATGTTACTATTTGAATATGAAATGTCCCATACAGGCTCATGTGATGAATAACTGGTCCCCAGCTGATGACGCTGTTTTGGGAG